TAGTGTCACAATGCCTGAACAACTTTTTCTAGTGTGGTCATGGTAGATGAACAAACATTGTTATTTGTGTAAGTTATTTTGCTTAAATATAGCTGGACCATTCCATGCCAAACGTCCCAGGCACTTTGGCGACCATCTGAATTGTATTTGAAAAAAAAAGTGCTGACTTACTGCGTTGAAAACAGTGAACTGCTAGAATATTTCAGCGAGAAAAAAAGTTTTGTTCATGTGGCTGGCTTATAACTTCCTGGCATAATGCCGTCTGTGTGCTGTTTGTGGAAAATTTCGTTTTAAATCTACCGCTTATTTTTTCTAAAGCAAATCCGGTCTACCTGTTAAGTAAATGTGCTTCTGTAAGGTATTTGAAGCTCAATAATAATAGTGCAATTTTTTTGCCACATTCGCTTCCAAGAATAAAGGCAAAATATGTTATGTTTGCATTTTTATTGCAATATTGCACTTTGTATGAATATCTGAGCAGTGAATACTTACTCCACAGAAGGTATATTTTGAGGAAAAAATATCTTTAGACCTCTCAAGCTGCTGATATATACTGGCATAATGCCGTCTGTGTGCTGTTTGTGGAAAATTTCGTTTTAAATCTACCGCTTATTTTTTCTAAAGCAAATCCGGTCTACCTGTTAAGTAAATGTGCTTCTGTAAGGTATTTGAAGCTCAATAATAATAGTGCAATTTTTTTGCCACATTCGCTTCCAAGAATAAAGGCAAAATATGTTATGTTTGCATTTTTATTGCAATATTGCACTTTGTATGAATATCTGAGCAGTGAATACTTACTCCACAGAAGGTATATTTTGAGGAAAAAATATCTTTAGACCTCTCAAGCTGCTGATATATACGAGAAAATATCACGAATTTCACAAAATTGTGATTTTTGTCCGTATTGAGATGCAATTTGCTCCATGTTGCGATACAATGAAAACTCATCATTATACCTGAATTGTAAGAAACTGAAATTTTTTCTGTAATAAAAATCTTATCGCAAAAAGGACAGTAAAGAGCGCTGTCAACTGAATTTTATTGAAGGTGCTACGAGCGTTTTTATACTGAGCATGAGACCAGGGCTCATCTGCAACAACACATGTGTGACCATGACAAAATAATTTTAACCGAGAAAAGAATACTCTTTTTCGGAAAAGATAAGTGAAGGTGTACTGATGCATCGATCCTTAGCCTTCCTGATAAAGAGTTCTAAAATCTCTCATTTTTCTGCTTGCTTTTTTTTCAAAAACCGTGTTTTATGAAACCTAGGACTACACTTACATTCTTTACGGTGCCCGGCCATGAGACTACTATAACCCTTCTTAACATTTAAAGCATGCTGTCTTGCTTGATCATTGAAGCATTGCCCAGTTTGTCCTATGTTTACTTTTCCACATGTTAGCGGCATCTTATACACATTAGATTGGCATTCAGTAAACCTATTCTAGTAACGAATGGTGCAAGATTGACTAGTCCTGTTGCTGTAGGTACATGCACTTTTGAAAGCTTGCAAGGGGTGGAAAACAACAATGTCATATCTGCTGGCTCTTTTCCTAAAATTGTGAGACACCTTATGTACGTAGTACCGTGTGACATGCAAAGGTGATTGGTCATTCTCTTTTTCTTTTGGTCCTGTTTTCTTTAACTTTACTTTCTGCAGGAGGGTTTCGCAAACAAGTGTGATGATGCTGTTGGGGTATTGGCTGGTGCTATCAGCCCAGGAGTGCTAAGAATGTTCTGCCTTTTCATAGTGGGCATTCAAAATTAGTAGAAAGAGGAATTGATACCACATGTACTCAGGCCACTCTTCAGAAGTCATGTTAGCACAAGGGTGAGGTCAGGTTTAAAAACCAGATTAAAAGACTAAAAGATGCTGGGTATCCCAACAGAATCATCACACCCGTTTGCAAAACCCTCCTGCAGAAAGTAAAGTTAAAGAAGACAGGACCAACAAAAAACAATGACCAAAACCTTTGCATGTTATACCACATCATGTGTCTCACAATTAAAAAAATAGCCAGCAGATATGATATTAGCGTGTTGTTTTCCACCCCTTGCAAGCTTTCAAAAGTGTACTAAACAGCAACAGGAATAGTCGATCTTGCCCCATTCGTCACGAGAATAGGTTTACTTAATGCCAATTTAACGTTTGTAGAAGTATTTTTTATCAGGTAAACCAATGATCAGTGCATCACTACACGTTCACTTATCCTTTCCGAGAAGGAGTATTCTTTTCACAGTTAAGATTATCTTGTGGTGCTCACACGTGTCGTCGCGCATGAACACGGTTCTTGTACTCCGTATAAAAGCGCTCGTAGCACATTCATTAAATTCAGTTGACAGTCGGTGGTCTTTCCTGTCCTTTCTGTCTCTTCCTAAAGTTGTCGCGCTGTGACTAGCACACAACCACGATGAACCAACTCTCCCAAATTAAGCTCTTGTTACGTAACACGTAGACCGAGTTTCGTATGGAAAGAAGGAGTGGTGCTTTTAAAATAAAATTTTTCACATACAACACTTAGACGGCATTCCAGGAAGTTCAGAGGGCAGCAACGTGACCAAATATTTTTCCTCTCCTAAATATTCCAGAAGTTCACTATTTTCAATGCAGCACGAGTTTTTCGAATACATTTGAGATGGTTGCCAAAATGGCTGGGACATTTGGCATAAAGTGACCCAGCTGGGTCATTAGCCATAATTATGCATTACCTCTTTTGGTTTTTGTGTGTTTTGACTCAGTTTTGTGTTCGTTTTTAGCTCATTGTGTTTCTGATCATAATGTATTGGTTTCTTAAGTATTCGCTAAAGTTATATGTGCGAAAACCCGTATATGTTTGCATGTACATCATTTCTCATAACCAATTGTTATACATCCAGGAATACAAAGCTTAATCCACTGTGATTGTATACATTTGAAAACACTATCCATATATATTTTTGTGTGCATCACTTCTTGGGAAGGATTGTGTACATGAAGGCGTATATAGTGAAATCATAGTGATTGTATATATTTGAAAGAATCATTAGTATATATTTGCCTGTATTTCATTCCTATTAACCGATTGTGTACATGAAGGAGTATTAAACTGGAAACCACTGGGATTGTAGATACTTGAAAGAATTACAGGGATATATTAGCGTATATTTCATTTGTAGTCATTATGTACTTGAAGCAGTATACTAAACTGAAACCAGTGTAATTGTATGTTGCAAAGAATTGTCAATGAAGTGAAACTGAATAAATATAATAAACATTTGAGGTGTTGCATGCATAGTGTATGTATACGTGAACGTATATCTGGTGAAAAAGTTGTGTGGCAGAAGAAAAGTTTGTTTTATTTGCCTATTAAATAAACGCAATATGCAAGGGCAGCAAGGCTTCATTTTCTGTAACGCGCATTATTCATATACTGTGAAGTATATATAGATCCAGCACAAGTTCATACACGATAGTACGCGTTTATATTTTTGCCCAGATGCAATGAATGGAGCTCGACAGGTGGCGCACCATTGATAATGAGGACCACTTTCTTCAAGTAGTGTGTAATCAGTGCATGCCGATATCTATTAGTGCAGTCTAAAAGAATACTGGCACCCCTGCCATGGGCACTCAACACCCTTGTGCACCCTTCTCGCACCCTCCTCAGAGGGTGCTAAAAAAGTGATGCACATCGAAGGAACCCTTCCTCAAGGGTGTATTTGTAACACCCTACAGTTTTTTTACATGTACACCCTATTCTAAGGGTGCATGAAAAAGCACCCTTTTTTGAAGGTGCTGAATTAACACCCTTAGGGTGTCGTCCACGGGACAAGCTCATTTACACCCTTCTGGGTGTAAAAATTTTTACTGTGTAGAAAACATCTGCGTATCTGCCACACGCAAGTTAGGCCTTTTACGGCATAAACTCAAAGGGTCACCAACTCATGTCAAACTACTGGCCTTCATAATGATGATACTTCCTAAACTGCAATACGCTTCGGTCGTATGGGACCCCTTCCTTAAAAAAGATAAGTACCGGCTTGAAATGGGGCAAGGACGCGCTATACGCTTCATTGTCAACAAATATAGGACCACAGACTCGCCAACTCCTCTAATGCTGGCGAATAGCATTTCAACCCTGGAAGATAGACGAAAAATCGATAGGCTGAAACTGCTGTTTGCTCTTTATACTGGTTCCACAAAGGTAAATGCATCGGTATACATTCCACCATTTCAATCGCGCCCCACGAGACATCGGCACACCCACTACTTGCTTCCGTATCGAGCCCACACAAACATGTTCAAGAATTCGCTTTTCCCACGTACAGTATCGGAATGGAATTCACTGCCTGAAGTGGTTTTCACATCTCAGTCTATTTGTCATTTTGAGCGTGTCATATTGTCTGTACTGTAGTCTGTACTTGACTTGCTTTACGGTTTATCGCAATTGTGAATGTATAATATGGACATAGACCCATCATACCGTTGTTCAGAAGGTCGTATTAACCTGTGTTTAAGCTCATCTATATGTCTCTGTATAATGTACTTATCTTCTGTATTTTGTGCACATCGTTCATCTATCACGCTTACGTGTGTTTTCCACTTAATTTTCGTGCCTCTCCTGCTTGGTATTTTTCAAAACCGCAGTACGTTGTAAATAAAAATAAATAAAATGTCGATGGCTCGTCAGGCTGAAAGGAAACGGCCCCGAGAATAAGTGTGTTCATTCGCTACACCAAACAAACGGGTCATACCGAAAATATCTGGCACGTGCCTGACCAGTCATATCCTTTTCTCTCTCTGTCTTTGCCTTTCTTCCTCCCACCTGGTGCGGCGAGCGAAGGGCGCATGCGCAGCTGCTCTCCCACGCTTGCGCAGCGCTCCTATGCGGCACTTGCCCGGGCAGCGGTTATCTTCAATGGCTTCCTGGGCTGCCGCTTGAAACATACATCGACTTTCTGGTTAATTCCTTCACTAAAATGTTTTACGCCACCACCGTCTCGAGCATGTTTCTTCCATGAGGTACGCCATGTGGCCGACTAGTTTTAAAACACAACCGTGACACAGAAACATCCTATATTTTATAATGACTGTCCAGATTTCAGTGATTATAGAGATCAGTACCGATTATTTCGTATCTGGGGCTATGGAATATTCGCAAATCCGTTCAGTAGCAATGAAATCTCAATTTTGCTAAAAAAAGTGGAACGATGGAGGCATATATGAACTACAAAATGGAATGTTATTCCAGCGCGAAACCAGGTGAGGTCCTCCGATCCTGGAAGCTATGCAAAGCGCATGGCAGCAGAACGCTTTCGGGGAGTGGCGGCACAGCAACAATGCATCGACTGAGAAATAAAAAAAAACGGCTTTTCACCTTCCAGCCAGCCATCCTTGGTGTGTGTCTAGCAGATCCTGTAAATTTATTCACTCCCCCCCCCCCCGCCCTATTGCGCAGGTGCGGTGGCTCTAGTGCTTTCCTGAAGCAGCGGTTCGGCACGGGCTACCACATGAAGATATTCAAGCTTCCCTTGTGCAACGTGAAGGCCATCGAGGACCTGATTCGCAAGTACGCACCCAAGGTCAAACTTCAGAGTGACTCCGACAACGAGGTCCTCTTTACGCTGGGTCACATCATTGAGACCCGAAAGATCGTCACCATGTTCAAGGTAGGTTAGTTAGTCGTAGTAGATCGTGACTTCACATCTTGCATGGTTGTCTTTTGCGAGTAGATTTTTGTGTGTAAGGTGTGCTTGTCCACTTTCAAGTCTGGCGAATATTACTTTAATGAAGCATTCGTCTCTCAGGTCTTCCATTCACGCAGTATGCCAGTTCAATAACGACTGATTTGTCATAATCGCCCTTTTTTTCACCTGCTTGCCCTTCGTTACTCCGATCTTGTCGTATACCTTGATACCCGCTGCCATTTTCAGGGGACACTACATGCGTGTTTCGGATTCCTAATAAGCGCAGCAAATGAGCTCATGGTTGCCACGACATATGCTTGTATCCTCTCTTCAATCAGTTCAGTATGGAAATACTGACCAGGACCCTGGATTCGCAATTTCGGGCGACGGTGAATGGATGATGTAACTACGGTCTGAATGATTCCTGGCATTTGTGCTCTGTCGAAGCCACAGTGAAGCCCATGCTGTGGTTTTTTGACCGAGACCGTCAGGAACCTAGATGTTAATGCATGATGGTGCAGTTTCACGTGAATCAACCATCGGGTGCACACTGAGTGACCTAAAAGTAAAATATGGTTGTGGATGATAGATAGACATGTGGGGTTTAACGTCCTAAAACGACCACATAAATATAAGAGACGCCGTAGTAGAGGGCTCCGGAAATTTTGACCATCTTGGTATGGTTGTGAAAACAGAAAATACTTTCAGTTGGTCAGCGCTCGCGTCATAACGCTGAGGAGAAACGGCCCCCAGAACAAGTGTGTTCCTTTGCTACACCGAACAAACGGGTCATACTGAAAATCTCTACCAAAAAGGTAGAGGTAAGACAGCTGATCCCTCGTTTGTGCCGTGGCAATGTACGTTCCCAAACGTATGTTCTCCTGTCAACTCGTACATTTTACTTCACAACGTTTGTATTGGAAGTGAACACGAGACTTAATCGCTTCCGATTTCTGAGGAGGGGCTGAAGATGAACGTCAGTTTACAATACACCAAGGGGCCGCAGAAGTGCAATTTCTAGGAGTTTCTGAAGAGATTCAAGAGCTGTTATTTTCGAAAACCCCCAGAGGTGAAGACCTAAACAAGGCAGAACTTCAAGGAGCCTAGAAGCACTTTTTAAAGTAACCATGAAATGAATTCATTAAAAAGCTTATTGACTCACGAATTCAACGCCGCAAGAAATTTAAGAATCCGTCCAGTGCGAGTGGAGTTACAATGGTTTATAGCATGTTCCTATTGCATTCTCTTCTCTCGTCCCAATGAAAGCGCTGGAAGCTAAGCAGGGAGGGATGACAGGGCCACAGAAAAACGTCACGCGCTCATTCTGACCTTACGCACTTCTTTTCTTTAATTTTTCTTCGAATACGTGGCTTTTTAAGTGTGATCATGCGCGCACGCTGTTATGAGGCGTAACGCCAACACAGTCCCGAAGGCGCCACTGCTCCGAAACTCGCCGCTAAGCTCACCAGCCATTTGGTAGCGTGCGTTTCTCAGCTCGTGACTGCTTCTTCGCAGAGCTGATAGACGAGCGGACAAGACGACGGTGAGTTAAGGAAAGGTTTATGTGCAGCATAGAAATAGAGACGCTACATATTCGGCACTGAGGCCGACAGTTTAGGTACTCGAAGAGCCGAGATCTCTCTGACACATAGGTCAGCTGCTGGCAACGGCCCACGTTGCTTTTTTATAGGCACCGGGTGGACCTTTACGTCACCAAAGTACGTCACCAAAGCCCAATCAGAAGCGCCGCTGACAGTGATGTCATATTCCTCCAGTCAGGAACTGCCACTGGGTTGCGTCGTGATCCTCAAATCCGGAGCCACTGCACTGGGTTGCACCCAAAGACGAGTGATGTTGCCACGCATTGCGTAAGACTCGCCAGACTGGATGGCACCACTTGCATGACGTCGTTGAGATGATGCCGTCAGGTGGGCTCGCTCGCTGGCCTTGATACAGATTGCCTTTGCAGAGGTAATGACGTTAGGTGTGGACTGCGAGGCGTAAGAACACCCCCACCACCAGACAATGCGCCGGAAAGACGAGCTGATTTCGCGTGGCTCGGATGTCGGGCGCGCTCGTTCGCCAGGTCCATCCAGGTTCGCCTCCAGGGCCATAGGGAGGATTCAGCTTCAGGCTCAGTTCCATGAACCCATCCCATTCTTGAGGACGGATCCCAGCTCCGCTGGCTTGTCGCCAAAACTTGTCGACTAGCTTCGCTCGTCTCTTCTGACGATTTTTGGTCGCGATGTTTCAGCAACCTGTGAAGACTGGTTCGACAACAGACAGCACACGACACAAGCAAGTGCTGTCGGTTACCCAATAGAACACCGGATAAAGTAGAGTACAACATATACCTAGCTACGTGTCCATCGGAATTTCGTTCCCTCTACATCAAGAGGCACATGTGGGACACACGACTCTTAAACTGAGAACTCAAATTTTTACACGTACAACAACGTAACAAAATATAACACCACATAAAGTTGATCCCTTGAGATTACTCCGGACCAGAGTGCTCAGCAAAGGCCGTGATGAGCGCAAAATTTTGCCCCGACTCGCCAGTGAAAGGCCGAAAGGTGGAGAAGGTACTAACTGAAACGCACGACTCAATGTGTCTCTATTAGCGGTTAGCTTTCGTTTCTTGTAGCGAACGTCTAAGTTGTGCTGTTAGAGTATCATGCTCCACCTCAGTAACTGGCCACTTTTAGGCGACGTTCTATTCAACCAGGTTAGAGGGCAGTGGTCCGTTTCGACCACAAACCTCGAACCAGAGACATAACAGGCTAGCTTTTGAACGGCCCACATGAGGCAAGCGCATTCCTTTTCAGAGGTACTGTATGTTTATTCCCTGCAGCTCAGTTTTCGACTTAAATACGAAACTGGCCTTTCGTTACCAGCACTGTCTGGCACAGAACAGCTCCAAACTTTAGCATTTTATCAATATCCTCTTTCAGGATCTGTTTTTGCATAGGGGAACATCGACACGGCTTGCTATGAATTGACTTCTCACAGGTTAGCTCGATATAGTGTTCAATCACCGCCGTGTTTCCGGGACGGTCCGAAGACACGTCTTTGAACTCGGAAACAACCCTTCTCCAGTACTCCTCGTGGACTTCACTTAACATGGGCTCCAAGTTCAACTGTTCTAAGATAACCTCCGATCGCCTTTCAATTATATCACTAGAGGTCAATATTTCTGCTCCTTCTTCCTCTGAAGCATTCAAAAGCAGATTTACGACCGCTTGACGTTGAACGTATGGTTTCTTCAAGTTACTGTGGTAAATTTTGTTCGGCCGCCTTCCTAATTTCACTTCATAATTGATATCAGAAAGCTTCGATATTACTTTGGCGGGCCTTTTCCAATGAACCTCAACCTTGCTCTTTTTGGACGGCCGCAGCAGCATTACCTGAGTACCTACTTCAATGGTGCGTTTCTTCGCCGATTTGTCGTAGTACTCTTTTAACAACACTTGTACAACCTCCATGTGACTTTCCACAAGATTTTTTGTTTTTCCGAGCCTCTGAAGGAGGTCTAGAACATACGCAACGACATTAGGGTCCTCATCAAATCCCTCCCAGGACTGGTGTAGCATTTGCAAAAGTGTTCTCAAACTCCTGCCATACACAAGCTCTGCAGGGCTAAAACCAGTGCTTTCATAAGGAGATGATCTCAAAGCGAACATAGCGGGAGGAATACACGCTTCTCTGTCGCATTTGTGCTCGTAGCAAAGAGCTCTCAGTATCCGTTTCAAAACGGAATGCATACGCTCTACCGGATTTGATTGTGGGTGATGGATCCGGCTGTGCACTACTTTTATTCCGCATTTATCCAAAAAGGTAGAGGTAAGGCAGCTAGCTGGTGAAGACACTACCATTGTCGCATTGGATTTCAGAAGGAAATCCGACGCGTGCAAATATAGATCGCAGTGCATCCACGACATGAGGGAATTGATCTCCTTAAGTGGTATCGCTTCTGGAAATTTTGTGGCTACACAGAGGGCCGTAAAGATGTACCGACAACCTTGCCTTGACTCTGGCAATAGCCCGATGATATCAATTACTAGGCGCCCAAAAGGCTCTGTGATAATTGGCACAAGCTTCATGGGTGCCTTCCACTTGTCTGTGGATTTCCCCGCTTTCTGACAAGTGTCGCGTGAGTGTACAAAGTCTTCGATATACTTCCAGCATTCCGGCCAATAAAACTCAAGGGAAACTCTAGCCTTGGTCCTTTTTATGCCGAGATGCCCTGCCCACGCGTTTTCATGTGCCAGTTCCAGTAGCTGGCGACGATACTTTTGTGGCACCAAGAGCTGCTCACACTTGTGACCTTGCACATTTGTGTAGCTCCGATACAGGAACCTTGCCTTCTAAAAAAAAAGGAAACATACTTTTTCGTTTTCTCCAAGTTTACGCTTTTTATTAGCGCTTCAATCGAGAGGTCCTCACGCTGCTCTTGAATGAGCGTTTCTCGATCAACCCTCGACAGCTCGCTCCAACTTTCCGCTACAGGCGAGAGCGTTGCATCCTTCTCGCTCTGATTCAATGGTGTCATGTCGTCTTCCTCCGCCGACAGAGACGGATTCGGCAACGGGCGGCCCGAGTGACTCATCCGGAGAATTACCTGTCCGAGGCACCATCGCCTCGCCGCCCGAAATCACGCAGATCAGCCTCTTTAGCAGGTGGTGTTTCACTACACTGAACGAGGTCAAATTCTCGCGAAAGCTTCCGCGCTTGCGATCGCCTGAGGGCCATGTACGCTAAGTTGCAGAAGAACAATTTACTCTGCTCCTTGAGAAGGTGCTCAGAGTTATTAGGAAAAAGATAAGGAAAACAATCGGGAAGCGCGGCAGACCCAGCCGCTTCGGTGCGAAGCTTACCGAATGAGCCTTCAATGGCAACCGTAGCGATTGGTAGGCCAATCCTATATTTCCGTGCCATCCTTCCCTGCTTAGCTGCCAGCTCTTTCGTCTGGACGAGAAAAGAGAGAATGCAATCGCAGTGTGCGACAGGTCTTTGCGACCCCACTCGTACCGGACGGATTGTGAAAAACTTTTGCGGCATTGGATTCGTGAGGCCATGTGCTCCTTTAGTAAATCCATTCCGTGAAGATATAATGCGCAAAAAATCTGTCCTCTTTGCGCTGAGATGATTCAGGCCACATTTCGCTTTTCCAGGGGCTCGAGCGCCGGAGTTCCGAGCTCGGCATCGCCTCCGTGGGCCTGACCGTGACGGCACTGGAGGACGTGTTGTTGCGCGTAGGCGAAGAGGCGCACGTCCACCAACGCAAGGGTCCGAACGTGGCGTCTCCGCTGAGCGACGGGCCATCGTTCATCGATGCGAAGCGTAAGACCTCCCGCTCTCTCATTGTAGTATGCCGTGCATTGTATTTGAGTCGCATGAAATGATTAGTTCGACGTTCATGCATTACGTGACGCCTACGTTGGCATGAGTGTCGAAAACACTCATGCCAACTGTTGCCACCATGCTCCAGAGTGGCGCTGGCTAACATCCCCCAGGCTATACGCAGGCATCCGTATGCAGATTCTCAATTATGTGTACTGGTAAGCAGTCGTAGCTGCAGGTCAAACCGCTCCATTCAGGTGAAATTTGCGTGTTCAGTAGAGTCATAACTTTTTGAAAGGAATTCGTGGCCGTATAGAAGACATGGTGACGACTCTTTCTGGACACTTGGATGTCATGAATAATTTACTTCAGTCGATCAACGACTAAAGTGGTGAACCATCCTTCCCCGTCGCCCGCGATGGATGTCGCATTCTGCTCCATAATAATTCCGGAAAATCAACGTTTTGAGCATCGGACCAGGTAACTCCTGAAGTCTCTCCAGGGAGAACAGGCTGTATATGACATTTCGCTTAATTATAGTGCTGTCACCGAGGGTCCCTTTTCACGTTTGATGAGTCGTCAAAGACTTTTGCCCAGAAAACAATGTACACCGAATCATAGGAGTTTCGAACGAAGGGGGGGGGGGCATGGGGGTTGTGGTTGCCTTCCTTGTTAGACAAGGAAGGAGGAACGCAATGTCATCCCCGTACATTGACATAGTAAAGAGAGGGCGGCGCTGTGAATCGAGTTCGAGGTTAGTTTCATACATCGATACAACAGGAGGGTCTCTGAAGGAGAACGATGAGCATGCCAATGCACGGAATGGTCTCGCTCAGAGACCGCAATCCGGATCATGGCCAGCACGACAGCGACGGATCCCTCGCTGTTTGCCTGCATCTGGGCCGTGCTCAGCAAGCGGGCCACGTACATGTGGCGCGAGAAGAGGATGCCCCTGTTCAGCTGGATGCTGCCGCCCCTTCTGCTCATGCTGCTCTTCTTCCTGGAGGACGCGGGCCTGCGGGGCAGCGGCTTTGGCGTCGAGCACGACGGTGACGCAGTGCGCTACACCTTCCCCGAAGTGGTCGGAGACGCCCAGGTAAGCCGCACGGGTGCAGGTTAACGTGTCATGCTGTTCGTATCTGTAAGTGAAGAAATCTGCAATTCTCATGAATGTACGCCAAATGTTTGAAGGAAAGCCCATAGGGGTTCATCGTCAGTAAAAGAAAGGTCGTCGTGGTTCCTGAAGCGTATACGTATACTTAACCAGATCCGGAGATGAAAATCAAACAAGTCTATTATATAGATGATTCGGTAGTGATCACATGAGCAATGTACGCAGCGCCTGCCCAACACGACCATAGCCGAATTTGAAAACTGAGTGGTGCGTGACATTTCTTGCTTTTCTTTAAGGTGGACGTTTTCTTTAAAAGGTGTTTGCCTTCCCATGGGATAGGCATTACACAGCACTAATACTAATGTGGGGTTCGCTAGCTCTTACTTGGAGTACACTTGTGACATTTTTATGCATTCATTCTCCAACTTTCCCACCATGGCCGCATGGGTATTTCGAAACGTCGTGCGTATGAACGGCAACCAATGCATATGATTTAAGGATTGCGGCGAGAAGCGCCTATATGGCTAATGTGTTTACCCAACTTTACTTCAGATACACTTACGCGTCCTTGCACAATCCATGACGTACATGTTGTAACGTCCGTCAAAGTGAAGTCTAATCGAAACAAACTATTCCAACGAGTGTAGCACGTCCGCACAATAAATTGGCTTACTTGAGTCACTGACAGATAAAAAAATACCGTAGCGTAACGATAGAAATGAACCCGCAGCCACGCTAGTAGCCGCGCCGTTGGGGAATGCTAGTTCGCCTCTAGTTGCCATGGAGGAAGGTGTCGATCGAGGCATCGTCCCGTGCGGGTGCGTTGTCTATAGGGGCCCGAGTGGTCTTATAAGGTCGCATGCACTCGTATATTGCTGTATTCCACTGTCGATTGGTGTAGCGCAGGCGCGAAGCCATGTATGCCACGTAGGAAATAGCCGTCTGCAGCATGTTGAGTGAACGCTCGCACCCAGGAAGTAGTACTTCCTCCTGTTGTGCGAGCGCGTAAAACGGGGAAGACTTGCATGACAATAAAAGGAAAGGAGAAAGAAAGTGAGGCGCCGAGAAAAAAAGGGAAAAAATGGGAAGAAAAATAGCAATCAACACGTATAAATACAGATAAAAAAGACAACGAACTGGAGAACAGAAAATGAAGACGGAAAGAAAGAAAAAAAGTGGCAGCATATCCACGGAGTGAATGATGGAGAGTGGGGCGAAGAATTCGTCCGTCCATTCGTTCTTGCTTCCGTCCGTCCATGCGTCCGTCAGTGTGACCGTCCATGCGTCCATCAGCCCGTCCGTGCGTGCGTCTGTTCGTGCGTCCGTCGCTGCGTTCGTCCATGCAGCCGCCCCTGCGTCCATTCATGCGTCCATCCATGCATCTGTCTATGTGTCCGTTCGTCCATCTATTCAACACTCCAAGTACCACCATCTCGCATCTTTTCATCATATATTTCCCATATAGAAGCACCGCCATCCAGCGGACATTCCAAGGACTAAACGAGAGGTGGCACATGCACACATTCTTACGGCTTGCGCTTCGGGTCCACTTCCCACCTTTAACCACCTCGAGTTCATGATATATACTAGTTCACTGTATTCATGGCACTGCGGCCGAACGCTCGCTAAACCTTTCGAAAACCAAGGAGGTTACGCCCAGCGAGTATGACGTAGCAAACTTTTTCAGTCAGATAGTGCTCAATGTACATGCCAATGGCTGCTAATGGGAAATGAGAGGCGGAGAATTCGGCTTTTACTTTCTTACGGCTTGCGCTTCGTATCTACTTCCCATTTTTAACCACCTCGAGTTCATTCATGGTATATACAAGTTCATTGTATTCATGGCACTGCGGCTCAACGCTCGCTAAACCTTTCCAAAGCTAAGGAGGTTACACCCAGCGAGTATAACGTAGCAACCCTTTCTTGTCAGATAGTGCTCAATGTACATGCCAATGGCTGCTAATAGTGATCGCAGCCTGCGCGTTAACTAAAAGCCAAATGCTCCTGTCTCTCATTCCCCATTAGCAGCCATTGACATGTGCATTGAGCACTATTTTTTATTGTTCAACAACGCACAGAAGAAGTCTCTCACCGGCACCACCTTGGAGGTCAAAATGTTATACTTGTTACATACTACGGGGGACGAACGGGTGCCGCTATAAGGAGCTTTGCCCCTAAAAACCAAAGAGGAACAAAGAAGGCTTCTCAGTTACGAATTTCCTTGATGTTTGGTACCACAAGTGCAAGGTGCGTTAATATTTGGGGGGACGCCAACCGCACAAAACTCTATCCTAACGATTGTTAAAGTTTAATTGGACTCTCCGCGTGCAGGGTTTCTACGTAGTGGACACTGAGGAGTCCTTCGCCGACAAGTGGCTGCGACCGTTGACCAGCGACGCGAACGGTTTCTACATGACAGAGGAGAGCCCGTCCACAGACCTTACGCTGTACCTGCTCGACATCGCCAAGGAGACGCTGCGGAAGTACGTCTTCAACATCCATTTCGGAGTGCAGCTGGTCAAAAAGACGGGGTAAGTGCGTTGCGCGAATTCCCTGCATGAGACGCGTGTAATCGCGTACAAGACATGACCCTAATGACACAAGCGTGTGTGGTAAATCGCTGCCGCGACTGAAATGGGCCATGACCCGGCTACTCACCAATTTGCGGTTTTAGGAGAAATATAGAAGGGGTTCTATTGTGCCTTTATGGGCATGAAAAAGGGACTGTGAAAGGATACTTCATTGCAAGATGAGCCCCCGAAGTCATCGGCTATCAACCGCGCCCACCACCGGCGCAGGCTATTTTGAGCTGGTGTGTGTGACGTCATGTGCTTTGTTGAGTGGAGCCGCCGTTGTCTAGCTAAGATTTAGCCGCTGCGAACCATTAAAATCTGAATGATGAACTGAACAAAGCTCTAATAGTTTGATTTCTCGTGCAGCCGATCACAAAACAGAGTATCTCGCCGCAATACAGACGTTTGCAATATAACTGGCTTCTTACGTCACTGCTCGCGTGTGTGGCATTGGTGTCTCGACTCTCGGGCCAGTTGTGCGTTTATAAAAAAATGCTTGTTATAAATCAAGTTCTCGATCAAATGTGTTGAAATACTACCAGCTTGTTTGTCAACATCCAAGGACTAACCCACATAGCACAGACAGAGCGAAAATTCGTTGTCAGGGCCCCTTTAAGAAATAGTCCTGCTGATGAACTCGGCAACGTTCTTCAAAGCGGGATCCCCGCTTTGAACCAGCGGTTTGTTATCTTAGATTGAAGTGCACGTGAAGGAAAGGGGCATGCTACCATTAATTATTTCATAATGCTTGCCAAATGTGCTCGAAGGCATTCTTGTTTTGGACTTCATGCACATGGTTCAGTTCATGGTTACTGCTTGTATTACTTTACTACTACCTTTGTAACGCCACCTATCGCAATGCAGTCTTCTCTCTGAAAAATTCACTTTGGTGTTGGGCATATTGATATGCAGGCTTTCTCTTCTGCTTCCATTTTCTAATTAAGTTGTGCAAAGAGAAGGCTCAACAAAAATACATCTATTTTTTGGATGACTGAGCTGATGTGACAACCGTGATGTCCGAGCTTCTATGCGTGTTTCACGGACGAGAAGTTTATACTGCCCACTACGTGGCTTCTCTCCTAGAAATTAAGGCATTGCCATCGAACGGTTTATCTGCTTCGAATGGCGTTTCCAGCACCCACGCAGTTGTCACTTCTCATGCAACACTCCATATTCACGTTAAATTTCGTACTAGCACTACGCCTGGCCCATTCCATTTTGTCAACAGTCAACAAGGGTATCGGCTATGCTCGTCTCCCCTCTCTAATCTACTGCCGTCTTTGAGTCTGGCAGTTTTCGCTCATTGATTTCTAATGAGTACTAAATAATCACTGATTGAGTCTCCTTTTACGCTCTTCCTGACCCACATGTCGTTAGCAGAGCCAGGGAATCGTCAAAAACGTTTCTCGGTAGGGGGAGAGGGGTTCAACGACTCTTTGTGTGTATGTTCGTGCCTGCTTTGTACTAGGGAGTGTGTATCTACACATGCTAAATTGAAAGATTTCGCGCGGTCTGATTCCACCAACTTCACACAACTCTTGCTACGCATTGGAAGACAGCGGCAGGTTAGCCACGACTTAGTAATGACAGCCATTGGAGCTGCTGCTCATTCCATTGGATATGCTGCTCATTCTCACTGTTTACTTTTGCTTACAAGCAGATAACCCGGCTGCTGATTGACCTAATAACTGTACTTTTCCACACATGCAGCAGTAACTAGCTACATATTGTTGTTCTCTCACCCGAGTCTAGACACGCAACAAGCGTCTGAATACCGACAGTTACAAAGTTCCACCCGAATCCTTCGCACCTCCATAGGAGCTACCCATGTCTATATAAAAGGACCAAAAATGCAAACTATGCACAACAGAAATGACTCTTTATAACGTATAACTGTGTGTATGTCCAAACTTATCAAGTTTTCCTAAAGCCCCTAGGAAGCGGTGGTGGCTAGTGCTGCTTAGCCGGGAGGTCCAATACCAAAAATGGGCTACCCAGCTGGCCAGGGCGACTATTAAACCTGGTATCTAGCTGCGTGGTCTGGCCCAGACCACAAACATGGCGGATAATAAAGTGTTTTCGTTTATACTGTCTGAGCTCCTGTCGGCGCTTTCTTTTAGCTCTTCACAAATGAGCACATTTGTATCATCGTCAACATTCGGCACACAACAACCCTTTTCCTTTCGAAATCATCGATTTCAGGAATGCTCTGTGGTACAATGGCCAGATCCAGCACACGGCGCCCCTGGCGGTGACGCTCTACAACACGGCGCGTCTCCGCAACGTCACCAACGACGCCAGCGCCGACTTCTCCTTCGAGGTGACTGCGCGCGGATCCGAGGAGCTCCACGCGGCAATGGGCGGTGGCCCCGGCGTCCTGGCGGAGCACATCCGCAGCCAGAACACGTACAGCACCCTACTGCCCAAGGTTCTGCGGTCCATCTTCTTCCCTCTCGTGTCCAGTCTCATGTGCAGCAACTTCGTCATCTTTCCGACCGCAGAAAGGGCACTCCAGGTGCGTGTTGAGCCTGTGTGAGAAAAGTACTGTGCTTTATGCTTATATGTTCACCTGGCTACCACCAATATGCTTAAGGGGAAGAGATGTGCTCCAAGTTGGTGGAGCTCGGTGATGTGGGTGCTAACCTGTAAAAGTATGCCCCAGTTTATGCTCTCAATCTTGAAAAGACCAACAACTGATTTTTCTCGACCCACCATTTTTTTTCATGGCGCGACAGAGAGCCGATTTTTTTGTAGTAATTGTAGCCGCAGTAGTTAGTTGCAAATACACGTAGTTATTTTTCAAGCAGTATTATTTTTATCTGAAAGGCTATAAACACAGGTGTAACTTTCTTCCAGCAACGCTGAGAATTGGTGGCGATGCCACTAGCCATTCTCGTGGTTTGTGAAAGCTGCCGTCGTTCTGCTTCGCATGAAATTTCTGTAACTACGCTTAACCACCTTCATTTCGAGTTGTTCAAGTATTTTTGAAAATAGCAAGCTTTTACGACGGGACGATGTGACATTATACACTTTCCTTGTATTCGTACACCGTTGTGTGCGCCTGTGTCTAGGGCGTGCCTGTGCCTGTGTCATGAAGTGGCTCGTACCAAGGTCGTTACTCTCTCAATACACGAGCCAAGCCAAGTCAACGAAAACATCACTGCGCACGTGCACGGCCGCGCCTAGTGGCAGTGCGCGTCATTTCTGAGGCGAAGTGTGAATAGCAAAACAGAGCAACTCCAAAATGTTAGCGAGTTGGAAGCTTCGTGCACGGTTTTATGAGCGTGCTGAAAAGTAGCCGAATGTGCGCTGACGAACATGGGATAATCACATTCCACGAGCAAAGGATGCTTATGCAGGCCTGCACGCCCATTTTAATAATATCTTTCATATATAGGAACAAGCAATATTTCATTACTAACAACAAAATTGTCGAGCGCAGACAGGAAATGAATGGTCAAGTGGCCATGTACATCGGCTCATTCACGTTTTTGCCTCCAGAGGTGCCACATATCAACTTTCGCGGCTTTCAGTGAAGGAATAGAAGTATAAACCCATCCCTTAAGGAAAAAAACAACAACAGTTGGTTTGAGTCAATCTGACGGACAATCCTTGCGTCAGTGGAGCAATCTCACTTCATATTTTGTATAGGTTTCGGTCCCAATAATCGATCCTTGAATGATAGTGCAAAAGAAGAACTTAATGGAAAACAGTTTCCTCAATGTGATAGGTTGGTGAGGAAGACGTATGTACCTGGTTAGTTGCATGTCCTAGGTGAGCTTCCTGTGTAAGGCTTGGCTATCACGGATGTTGTCCGAAGCCCCAAACATGGCGTGAACAGTCCTTCAAAAAAAAAAAAAAAAATCAATGTCTTTGGTAGCGGACGTCGCTGCGGAGGGCTCCATTATAGGTAACATACTGTGGTGGTCTATTAGTTATAGTGCTCGACCTCCGACCGGTCACCGAATCCTATCCCCGCGCCGCTGCGGCGGAATTTTTATGCCGGCGAAATGCTGGAGTCTCGTGTACTTAACTTTCGATGCACTTTAAAGAACATGATCAAATTTTTTAGAGCCCTCTACTACGGCATCCTCTATAATAATTAGTATTCCTTGCAAATAAGTAGCATGCTTTGGACGGGGACCAGGGGGATAAGAAAAACTCGCCACCCCTTCCTGTCCTCTTTGTCTTTGTTCAAAGTGAACTACTACACTGTGTCAAAACCTCATATTTATATCGTGTTTTTGGGTCATGAAATCCTCAGAATCAATATTACACATCACACGCTGCGGAATTTAGCGTTTTTCCTAACCCGAAGTCACCATCTACTGCAGTACCAGTGCTACTATGCTGTCAACCTTGCACTATTGCCGTTGTGCTTTTTATGAACTACGTCCTAAAACGCTTTTCAGCTGTACGAGTTTATGGACGTTTACATGAATTTAAGATTATTATACTTGCTGAATTACTCCGATTGAAATGTTGAGCGAATGCCGCATCATAGCCTCCTATATTTTTTCATGCCCGCCGAGTGGGGAGCGGAGCAAGGCGCCCCGCCCGTACCTTCTATTTCATGCGCTCGCCACCACACGGAGCTGTCACCCCATACCCACTCCCAGAGCAGACGACGCGACTACGCTGTTGCGCGCATGCTTTTGGAGAGAAACTTGCGTTCGTATTAGAGATGGAGCTGTAAAATAAATGCGCAGGTTGCATTGGTGTTTCTTCATGATGCACAGGGGTGATGGAAAAAAAAACGCGAACAGTGCGGCGCGATCTTTGCATCCCGCTGTGACCCTGGTGGGAATAAAAATAAAATATGCTAGAATAGTTTTATTCTAGTGGCTTTTAATTATCATGCAGGATACAACAACCCGAAAAGAAATTCGAAACAGCAGAGAATGTAGATGCTGCACTTTTCGCGTTTCTTTCCATCCCCACAGTACATTGAAAGCAAGCAACACGAGACATATTGCGAAAACTGGACCTTTCACTTAGGCCCCCAGCTGTGAGATCGAGCTCACAGTTTCAGGGTCTTTCGTGAAAGCGGCTTTATTTCGAACAATTTGGCGACGTCATGTTTGTCTGTTCCGCTAATATTGAATAACTTGTTCCACTAATATTGAAGCAGCCAGGTCTTTCTCATTCGCTTTCTCCACAACTTGCAGGAATGCAGACACATAGGATTCTTCCTTGAGCTTTTGCAGTTCCTGTTTGTACTTGTCGACGGTGTTCTTGAGCCGCTCAATTCGCGCGTTCGAGTCTCGCTCCTTACGTCTCCACTTTCGTTTGTCCAATTCCTGAAACCGAGAATAATGACGACACCTGTACAGCTCTGTCCACCTGCACGGTCGCAGTCATGCAGCGCTCGCTTGCGCCGTTTTCCAGAGGTAGCGGCAGTTCGCTTGCGGTGCAATTCATCAGTAATAAATCTTGAGAGTCGACGTCGGCGGACGGCAATCATTGCGAGGAAGTGAAGGAGTCTCCAGTTGGCTCTCAACTGCTCTTCGTTTCCGCGGTGGTGTGTTCTCTGGCGCAGCTGCGTCGCGTTTTCTCACAGACGCGTCGCTTCTCTCTCTTTTTTTCGGAGGCTGCAGGTACGGAGGATACTCTTCGAAAATGCCGGGAACAGCGTCTTTCTTGAGTTTGCGAATTTTGCAGCCCTCCTTGAAGTCGGAGGAACCGAAGTGTCGGCTGCATACAGTCGAGTAGCACGACGTCGTATTTGGTGTCCAGTCGTCCCGAGAAATGACCTTTAGCCATTTCGCTCGAAGTTCCGGATCGCTTGGTATCTCGTGGAACGATATGCCCGGCGTCCGTTGTTTGCTCGAAGACTTGCAGCGTGTTACGCAGCAGTACGGCATCTTGTCGGGTACAGAGCACCCTTACTGATTTCACGCTGCAGATAGAAAACCGAATTGGTATGTGAAAAGTATTGCAGCATGAATATGCACCGTAAATCACAGTTTTTAGAGTAGCAAACAATATAGATTGTGACAGCCCTAGCAACTTACACATGGACCCATAGAATAGTAAACAAACGGTCGCTTCATTCAGTGACACTGAGACTTAAGGATCAGAACGCTGTTAGAACAATAAACGTTTATGTAAATAATTCAGTGTAAAATGCTCAAGGAATTAAAAGCGACAGTTTAAAGCTATGTATTAAACGTACTTCCACTAGCAGCGTTCCGAATTTGTGCTACGATGGCGTAGGGCTGCCTCTTACACTTGCACCAGAGACCACGTTAGGATTAGCCGGTAAACATGCCGGTAAAGATGTATTTCTTGTTGAAGATAGGCTCCGTATTGGTACCGACCTTTTCAGTTGGAACGACTCTTCAAATTCTCGTCAATGGCTGTCAAAGGTTAAAAAGCACCCCGCTAAGGCATAGCAATTCCCAACGTTCCAGCTTCGCTTGATATCTTTTAATGCTAAGAGCCTAGCTAACAAAATCGATAAGCTTGAAAATCTTCTTCTTTTATATGACCCACATATTTGCGTCATTACTGAGACCTGGCTACATGGTCTGATAAGTGACAACGAAATTGTGCCGCCTGGATATCAAGTTTTTAGGCGGGATAGAGGCTCTCGTGGTGGGGGCGTGGCGGTTATTGTAAAAGATTCCGTTGACGCCTGTCTCGCCGATCAAATTGCTTATCGTGAAAGCATATTTTTGAAAATATCGCTTGACCATGTTACCTTCTTTCTTTGTGCTCTTTACCGTACACCCAATGCAGATGATATGTTTTTGATGAAATTATATGATCGACTTCTAGGTTTATGTGGGAAACACGTCTTGCTAACAGGTGGTCTTAACTTGCCATCTATTGTTTGGGATAATTTAAGCTATGGCTGCTCTCCTTCGGGTGACTCAATTCTTGACATCATGTTTTTGCTCAACCTCAAGCAAGCGGTGGATGTCTGTACTCGAGGCGGGTCGATTTTGGATTTACTCTTTCTAAGTGAAATATTTTCTGATGGCTATGTTGCAATCGAACCAGGCATTTCTGATCATAAATTGATTTTTTTCACTTGGAATAAGGCTTTACATCATGCTAGAAATACCCAGCCTGCCACACTTATAAAGGAATTTACTAGGGCGAATGATGTAGCTATAATTGACTACCTTGAAACGCATATCGGATCCTTGTTACACAATGTTGAGATCTCTTGGCAATCGTTTGTTAGAACCATACGTCATTGTGTTGAAAATTTTGTACCGTGTCGAAAAACTTATAAGCATCGTGCAAACCCTTGGATTAGCCGAGAAATAATCCACATGAAGCGTAAAATTAAAAAGCTTCGCAAGAAGCTTGTGCCAATGACACCCCAGCTTAAAGTACTGAAAGACAAACTACAAACAAGCTTGGCACAAGCAAGAAACACTTTTTATAGTAATACGCTGACTGAATTTCTTCAGAATAGCCCTCAAAAATTTTGGAGGTATTTAAGCGAGTCTAAGACAGGGAGTAGTAAAATGAAGGTTAATGGTGTAATAATAACGGACGCTCCTACTATTGCTGAACATTTTAACGCATACTTCCAGAGCGTTTTTTCTCAAACCGATGATTATGAACTTGTGAATTCATTCGTTGACTCAGACAATGATCTATTAGTGACGCAAGAAGGCGTTTTGCACATGCTATTACAACTTGATCCCAAAAAACCTCCGGGGCCTGACGGCATTCCTAATGCTTTTTTTAACCGCTACGCTGAATACTTATCGGAGTTCCTAACTGGACTTTTTAATGTTTCAATTGCTACGGGGGAAATACCGGCTGATTGGGGTATAGCACGTGTGAAACCAATTCATAAAAAAGGTGACCCCTTATCATTTGAGAATTACCGCCCTATTTCTATTACGAGCAGTTGTTGCAAGCTTCTTGAGCACGTTATTGCTAATTACGTCTATGAATTTCTCAGTGAACACAATGTACTATCAAAGCATCAGCATGGCTTCAGAAGGGGGTTATCTACTGTTACCCAGTTAGTTACAACTGTCCATGAATTTTCACGTGTGCTTGATGTTTCTGGGCAATTTGATGTACTGTTTTTAGATCTTTGTAAAGCCTTTAATAAAGTGCCACACGGGAAATTGTTACACAAATTACAGCGTATTGGACTACCTACAAAAATTGTTCTGTGGATTCAGGCTTATCTTCAAGATAGACGTCAGTATGTAGTGATTGGTAATTCTTCATCGACTGTTCTTCGTGTGTCCTCTGGAGTCCCACAGGGAAGTGAGCTAGGGCCACAATTGTTTTTAATTTATGTTAATGATTTAGCCTCTCTTATTCCTGAAAATGTGTCTGTGCGTTTGTTCGCGGATGATTGCGTCATTTTTAAGCAAATTTCCTCACCGTGTGATCATGTGGCTTTACAAGATGCTCTTATCGCTATCGATAACTGGTGTCAGAACGGGGGCATGCAGTTAAACACTAACAAAACTGTGCTTCTGCGCATCACCAGGAAGCTAAGCCCTAGTCAATTCCACTATCCTCTAAGAGGCACTAACATAAATAATGTAGACAAATATAAGTACTTGGGTGTCACACTCTCAAGCAAATTAACTTGGTCGACCCACATAACTGACATTACCACTTCTGCATTACGTAAGCTATGGTTTCTAAAAAGAAAACTAGCATCTGCACCCTCGCGTACTAAAATTCTAGCCTATAATGCCTGTGTTCGTTCTAAGCTTGAGTATGCTTCTATTATCTGGGATCCGCATACCAAGAAAGATATTATGAATCTGGAACGTATTGACAGAAAGGCTGTAAGGTTTATTTTTGGCAAATATCGTAGGTTTTATTCCCCGACCACCTTAATGCAATTAAACGACATTTCTACTATAGAAGCTCGGGGAAAGTTCAGTCGTCTTTCCTTTCTTTACAATCGTTTGTGTGGTATTGTAAAAATTGATCTCCTTGACTGTGTTAAACCGCTCTCAGTACAACGTACTCGTCATGGTCATGAACATGCTCTAACCCCAATTTTTGCCCGATCAAATGCTTTTAATGATAGTTTTTTTCCTAGAACTGTCGATGACTGGAATTGTTTGCCGTGTGACATCTTTCATTCTAATAAGTTTCTTGGTGACCTCGAGCGTCACCTTCTTTCTTAACCTTTTGTTTCTTTTGTATTGTTGTCTGTTGTTTTCTACAATTACGTTTTGATGTATCCACTCCTGCTTGGGCCAGCACATTGGCCTGCAGTATTGTGAAATAAATAAATAAATAAATAAATTAGCGGTCAGATTTGCAGCGATATAGCGTTCTTATCACGTTAAATTGCACATACCATTTGTTGTTTTTGAATCTTTACAAGACGCGTTTTATTCCGCGAGCACTGTACACATTGTCTGCAAGTTCTGTCATGCTTCCCTGATAGTCCAAACAAAAAAACATAATTAAAACCGTTGCTTCCGCAAGACACACAACCTTACCTGCGGCAAACACGACGGACAAGGAACAACTTTTGCTTGTAGAGCCACTTTTGTAGGTACTTCGAGGGCTTCGAGGTGCCTCAACACGTTGCAGCGTAGCGAACTATGCTGCTATGCTGACTATGCTTGGTACGCTCCAAAGCATGTACGGGCATGGATGGATGGATGGATGGATGGATATGGCTGTACCCTTTAGATCGGGTGGTGGCTAGCACCACCAAGCCGTAATACTTAATGAAGCAAAGACTAGATTTATTTTTTTTTCTTTAAAAAGTTAGTTTGAGGATTCGTACTTTGCAGTGAAGGGTTTAATTTTCACTCGTGCCTTGACCTTAGCCACCAATCAGATAACCTCCTTCTAGTTAAGTCTACCCGCTTAAAGTGTATTTTGCCCTCCCGGTCTCTAAATCCCAGTGCTTTGAAAAACTCTGCACCATCATCCTGAACTACAGGGTGAAGCCCTTTACAGAACATTATCAAGTGTTCGACAGTTTCCTCTTCCTCTTCACACGCACTGCATACCGTGTCTACCCTTTCGTATTTGGCCCGATATGTCTTGGTTCGCAATACTCCCGTCCTGGCCTCAAACAGTAAAGAACTACCCCGAGTATTACCATAGATCCTTTCCTTGGCAATTTCCTACTTAAAAGTTCGATAGATCTCTAGTGCGGACTTCTTAATCATGTCAATTCTCCACATATCGGTCTCAGCTTCTTCACCTACTTCTTAACCTTGAATTTTTTTTGTTTCGGCCCGCTGCTGCTTTTAAGTATTTACCAGTCAATTTTCTGGTTCGCTTCCTCCATTTTGTATCGACATTCTTCATGTACAAGTAGCTGAAAACCTTCCTAGCCCAACGCTCCTCCCCCATTTCTCTCAATCGCTTCTCAAATTTTATCTTGCTGCTAGCTTCCCTGCCCTGAAATGATCTCCATCCCATATCACCTTGTACTCCCTGATTTGGTGTATTCCCGTGAGCACCTAAAGCAAGCCTACCTATTCCACGTTGCCTTAATTTCTAATCTTGCTTGAACTTCTGATCTCATGCACAAGACTGCATTGCCGAACGTCAGCCCAGGGACCATGACCCCTTTCCATATTCCTCTCACAACATCATACCTATTGTAATTCCACAGTGCCCTATTTTTCATCACTGCAAGTATGGGGTGCGAGCGCCCCTTGCGGAGAAGGCAGGCGTAAATCGAGGAGGAAAAGAGAGGGCAGCGGACGGCCTCCACTGCTCCACTGCGCGGGCATGAAAAAATATAAAAGGCTATGGCCGCATTTCCTGTTTTCGGAAGGATGGGGGATTTACCACGCATTTCTTAAAAAAAAAAAACCGGCGCAAATGATTTTAATGTATACACGCAGCTGCTTACATTGGTCGGTTAATAATCTAAATTACTTACGCTTTCATTGAAAGGAGCTTGTAGAGCACAACCGAACAGTTTTGAGAGGTGCCTGAAAGCGCACGCACTTCTCACTGTCTGATACTCTTTCGGGACAGGTCAAGCAGTTGCAGATGATCTCTGGCCTGGGGCCCGTCACTTACTGGCTCATCAATTTCGCCTTCGACTTCATGTTCTACATGGGCACGGCGCTAATTGTGCTGCTTCCGCTGCCGTTCGTCCCCTACACCACGCTGGCCGCGGAAGACTTCCGTAAGTGCTCAACCTCGCAAAAGTAGCTTTTAACGTGATACCGTGAAACAGCTCGTGTCGCAGGAAACCCACCGCCGGCGTCAGCCCCGCTGGTGGTGAGCGAAAAATCGCCTGTGTGTCTGTGACCAAAAAATAAAGTTACCGAGATAGCCGCGGGAAGCCACTACTTGTTCACGCGTGCGCACGCGACCACACTGAGAAAGCCGCGCATTCAAAGAAAGAACGCTCAAGGTCACGAGGCTCGGTAGTTTCTTTGCCCTGCCACCCCTCCCTGCTTAGCTTCCAGCGCTTTTGTCGGGACAGGAGAAGAGATAATGCAATGGCAGCATGCGACAAACCTTTGTAACTCCACCGCACTGAACGGATTCTTAAAATTTCTGCGGCGTTGAATTTGTGAGGCAATAAGCTCTTCTAGTGAATTCATTCCATGGTTACTTGAAGAAGTGTTTCAGGGCCCCCTTAACGCATTTTGTTCTACAGTTGTCACGACGAAAACGAGCCAATTCAGCGGTAATAGCACGCGCTGGTCCAATCTACTGTGTGCGTGCCTGAGTAACAAAACATATGAATAAGTATGCACTTAGCGATTGAAGGGTGCACTGGGGGCCGAATTTCGCTATCGCGTTCAACTCTCAAAGGCGAAGCTTAAGGGTTCCCCTATTTTTTTCTTTTTCTCTTGGCGGCGCACGATGAATTTCGCGTAGTCATATGGCAGTGATCTAATCAGGACAAGGAGCATATATTTGGAGTGTCCACGAAGATGCTACGCATGTGTGAACTCACACTTTTTACTCTGACGAAATATAGAGGATCTGCACTATGAGCAAAAATAAGCCGAGATCAATTGATCCATTTCTTTCTTTCTTTCTTTCTTTCTTTCTTTCTTTCTTTCTTTCTTTCTTTCTTTCTTTCTTTCTTTCTTTCTTTCTTTCTTTCTTTCTTTCTTTCTTTCTTTCTTTCTTTCTTTCTTTCTTTCTTTCTTTCTTTCTTTCTTTCTTTCTTTCTTTCTTTCTTTCTTTCCACCTAAGTCTGGGTGCTCTCGGATCACTCCCCCAACTTGGAGTAGAAACCAATTTTTAATGGGAGGGTAAGATTATTTGACGAATACGACTCATTGTTCATGACATGAACAATGTCATAATGCCGTCGCACACGTCGTTAAGCACCTTCCCGCCAGGCCCATACCCAGCCCCGGGTTATGTGCCACATGTGACTGACATCTTTTTGTCTGCCCAGGCAACCGTGAGAATGCACATGGGTAATTTTGACGCGTGAGCGTTAAGAAAAACCGGACATTGACAGCATTGAGACCGACGAATGCAAAAGTAAATGTCACGGTCCCATCCGGGAATCAAACACCAACATTCTACGCGGAAATAAAGTATTCTACCATATAGCCCCGTAAGGTCTGCGAAGTACTTTGCAAGTAGAGCCCAATGTTCGTGAAATGTCCATTCAGGTTTCAGTGCTGGCTATCCAAATTTATAAACATCACATATATACCTTTACGATACAGCCGTCACGTCGGGTTAACGTCAATTGTAGTAGCAGTGTCCAGGGCTACCACGCTCACGACCACGAGCACTGTATATAAGCTGATTGCTTCCAGTATTGCTAATATCCGTGTTGCTGTTGACATCTTTGCGCAACTAAAACAACGGTCATATATTGATGTATTGAGTCAGATATATTGAGGGCTGTAGTGTGCGTAGTGTTTATAAATATCTCTCAAGGTCATGTGCAAATGTGTGCACATCACTCTTTCGATGTCACATTGCTATTGTAACTGGCAAACAAAATTTCAGCCTAAAAAAACCTGAAGCTGAGCAATACTGCTAACGAGCCTTAAGAATCATTGTTCAAGCAACGTATTTTATAACTTGTTTGGACCACTGCCGGGACATACGTAGTTCGTCCCTGTATAGGAAAGTGTGATGGCCAAAGACCATACCTATCAAATGTTCATGCTAATTACTCACATATCTAGTTCAAGTCTCGCTTCGGAGCCCCGAATGAACTCTCCTAAATGCCCGCATACATGGTCCGCCTTGGTGGAATCGTGGTTACGATGCTGGGTCCTCAATGTCGCGGGTTCTATCTCGGCCGCGGCGGTCACATTTCGCTGGAGAGGCCCGTGTACTGTGTGATGTCAGTGCACGTAAAAAAATGGCAGCATATCCACGGAGTGAATGATGGAGAGTGGGGCGAAGCATCCATCCGTCCATTCGTTCTTGCTTCCGTCCATCCATGCGTGCGTCTGTGTGGCCGCCCGTGCGTCCATCCGCCCGTCCGTGCATGCGTCTGTTCGTGCGTCCGTCCCTGCTTTGGTCCATGCATCCGCTCCTGCGTCCATCCATGCGTCCATCCGTCCGTGCAGCCATCCGCGCGTCCGTCCATGCATCTGTCTGTGTGTCCGTTCGTCTACCTATTCAACACTGCAAGTACCGCCATCTCGCATCTTTTCATATATTCCCCATATAGAAGCACCGCCATCCAGCGGAAATTCCAAGGACTGAACGAGAGGAGGCACACGCACACTTTCTTACGGCTTGCGCTTCGTGTCTACTTCCCACCTTTAACCACCTCGAGTTCATGGTATATACTAGTTCACTGTATTCATGGCACTGCGGCCCAACGCTCGCTAAACCTTTCTAAAACCAGGGAGGTTACGCCACGCGAGTATAACGTAGCAACCCTTTCTTGTCCGATAGGGCTCAATGTACATACCAATGGCTGCTGATGGGGATCGCAGCGTGTGCGTTAACTAAAAGCCTAATGGTCCTGTCTCTCATTCCCCATTAGCAGCTATTGGCATGTACATTGAGCACTATTTTTTATCGTCAACAACGCACAGAAGGAATCTCTCACCAGCACCCACCTTGGAGGTCAAAATGTTATACTTGTTACACACTACTACAACGGCTACGAGGGATGAACGGGTGCCGCTATAAGGAACTTTGCCCCTGAAAAACACCAGATCGTCGAACTTTCTGGAGCCCTCCACTACGGCATCTCTCCCAATAATATCATGCTCATGGGAGTCGAGGCCTTGGACACTGTTATTATGAATGCCCGTATGTCTTGATTAGGTGACAGGACGTCTCGTTTGAAGTGCGCCGGATAACGACTCTGGTACTTGGCACAAGGTCAATTGAACGACACGAACAACGAGAATAACGCGTTCGATGCTCTAACCACTGAGCTACCACAGCGGCAACAACGAGAACTCTAAAGGTTATGGTTTGATATTAGAATTGAAGTTTCATGGGAATAGCAGAAGTCGGTAGAAAATAGTGATTATCTCTCGAAAACTTACCGGATCGGGCTAGTGCAACGGAGGCGTTTGAACTAAAGAACGATTGTTGCTGGTGAAGTTGACTTTTGAGAGCGCTTTTACGACTGAACTAATTGCATACTGAAGAACATTCTACACACTCATAACAATATTTTCGTAGGGCACTTCATACGGCTATGTTAAAAAATTACCCCCGGTTCACATAACGAATTTTGCTCCCTTGCCCACGGTCGGGTATCGGCGCGTCCGATGACTCTAGTTGACCTTAGAGACAGGGACGGCTTTGAGCTCTCCCATAGTACAGTACCAAGTACTGTAAATCGTTAACCACTTCTTCTAAACACATGTAATATTTACTGCAGGCTTTTGCACCCAGGGAAGAGCGCTGAATATTTCAGCGTCGCCTTGGCCGGAACAGCTTTCAGCTCTCCCATAGTAGAGTACCAATTACTCCTAATCGTTAAACACTTCTTCTAAACACGAAATATAAAATTGAGGTCCGCGGGGCGTCTTTAAGCTCTCCCATACTATATATATAGTACCAAGTACTCTAAGCCGTTAGCAACCTTTTTTAAAACACACATGGCGTCCCATAGATGAGTGAACACGTTTTTATCAACACACCATATATCCAGGGTCAGTTTCGCACTGTCCTATGTATACAACACTGTAAATTCTGCATCAGTGGGAGAGTAGAGACAGTGCTGAGCAGTCAGGTTCATGTATCTTAGATACTTAATCTATTAGGCACTCCTTGTGAGTTTTGTATCTGTATCTCAAGACGTACGTCTTGAGGTACAGATACGTCTCTCAAGACGGGTATCTGCATCTGTATTTCGGATACATTTCGCAATATATAGTGCATATTAAGATACAATAAAACGCTGCAACATTACTGTGCGCAAAAGGAATCGCTGACTGAACTTTGGTTCTCAGGCTGGTATACTGGTGCCAAACCACCATCTCAATGGAACTAAGTGCAGGGACAAAACTTTACGTTTTTCTCACAAGTTCACCAGTTAGGGCGGGTGTGCGCGCGTCTCTTTTGGTGAGGCAGAGCAACATGACTCGACAGAAACTAGCGCGCGAACGATGATGTTCACGCGCTTGTGCTTTATGTACTCTGGATTACTTAGCTCGTAGCTGCGTCAGTGCCCTAACAGCAATGTCGTAGTGATGGGATCCGGAAATTTCGACCACTTGGGGTTTTTTAACGTGCTCGCTAAACCAAAGAACACGCGCGTCAACCCATTTAGTCTCCAACAAAAAACTAGAGGACCCTTAAGCTTCGCCTTTAAAAGTTTAACTCGGTAGCGGAATCCGGCCCCTAGTGCACCCTTCAACCGCTAAGTGCATGCTTCCACAGACTGCTTCGTCGTCGAGCGCCAGTTGACACAGATGCTGCATGAAGTGTCACAGACAAAGCAGTGTGGGTAGTGCTCCCAGTTGCTCGTGCTTGAACGTTAGCATCGTTCTGGCTCGTTAGTTGTGGGACACTGCTTGACGTTATTGTCCTGCCGGCACTCTTTGATGAGCAAGACTGGGCAGTGTGGCCACTTCCCTCTGCTAGAACGCCGCTTTGCTGTAGTCGAGACACGAGACCGGGTATTTCGTCCATCTACTGCCTCGCTTCGCATGCTTACGCATTGGTCAATGTAGACTTAAAACGGGGCTAGCAATGCTAATAACGAGTGAAAAATCAACTAACCAGGTCTAAATTATTATAAGCTAAGTAACTAAGAAAAGCAGCTATTCATCGCTAAAAACGTTCGTGAAACACCCCGGCTGAACTCCTCGCCGCTCAAGAGAGGGCGCTTCCGCAAGCACGCGACTTAATGTTGAAACGATGGCTAGCATGCGATTACCACGCGAACCGCGGTGATGTCCGTGCTGTTCACTTCCTCGGGTTTCGCGGTAGTGGAGGTTCACTAAGCGCAGGATTTAGAATTATGCCAAGACTTACGCAAGCGCAAGAACGACACCAGAGAATTAAACAATGTCGATTGAGCGCAGGAATAATCACGGGTTTTAGAACAACACTAGTGGCTCGTTCACACTTGAGAAGGGAAGCGAAAGCGAAAACGCCGGAGAGGCCGGAAAACCGCGTCTGCGTGCGTCGAAAACGTTCGCATTCGTTCCGCCCCGCGCACATGCCTCCACCACTTGGATAATTAATTCCATGTTTCTCGCTTGCTGAGCATTGAATTTCGTACTGAATTCTAATCATGCATACAGAGCACTGAAATAAATCAGTTTGCACCTTTCCCTACATTGTTTCGGGAGATACACCAGCATAAATGACTCGAGTGGACGCATCGTTGGTGGTGCGGATTCAGCCGGCTGCGTAGAAGCGAGACACGTTGAGGCATGCTGACTCGCTGCTGCTGCACCTTCTTCTACTTTGACTCTTCTCGGTAATCATAATCTAAATGAGCCTCTCGATGAATGCGTCCCTGTCGAGGCCGTCAGCTTTGTCGTGCTGTGCGAGTAGTCTGCAATAGCGGCGATGCGAACCAGTGCTGAAGTTTTTGCCCCGTTTTAAACTTGCAGCTGTTTACACCGTGCACCACGTTGTTTGAGCTAGTGCTGCCAAATCCGTGAAGCGAAAATGCGATCCACTACCACGTGGCGAAAAAATCTCTCTCGGACCGATTTTTTTTTTCGCGTAGGCCTTGCGGCGTGGTTTTCCGGTCGCCTGTGGTTTGTTCACACTTGAGAAGTGAAGCGAAACGAAAAACGCTAGAGTGGCCGGAAAACCACGACCGCGCACGTCAAAGATGTTCACATTCGCTCTGCCCCATCCCGCCGCCGCTGCTACCTTGACAACTCGATTTCGCCTGCTTTCTGAGAACTAAAGTTCGTATTATAGTTATTGACACAAAGTAGTGAAAAGAAACAGCTCGCACCTTTTCAAACGTTGTTTCGGGAAATACGCCAGCAGAAACGACACGAGCGAACGCACCGGCAGCGGCGGCGTGGTTTCAACCGGCTGTACACAAAAGTGATACATGTTGGGGCAGCCCGACTCGCTGCCGCTGCACCGTCTACTTCCAGAGTTCTCGGCGATTGTGATCCTAGTCAGGTTCTCGATGAACGCGGCCTCGTTGAGGCCATCAAGCTTCGTCGTGCTGCACTGGTTGTTTGCGATTTGAGCCGATGCGAGCCACCGCCGACGCCTCTGTCGCCATGTTGAATCTCCGGCCGGCTGGTTACGTCCCGTGGTTCGATCTAGCGCAGCGAAGGCTGTGAAGTGGAAACGAGATCCAGTTTCGCGTGGCGGAAAAATCGGTCTCGGAGCGATTCTTGTGCGCCGGCCGCGCGGCGTGGTTTTCCCGCCTCTTGGGCGGCGAAATGAGTCGATTTCCAGAGAATTTCGCCTCTTTCGCTCTTTTCGACGCCACGTGTGAACGCACCTTAAGGCCAACTAATGATTTGTGGGGTTTAACGTCCCAAAACCACCATTTGATTATGAGAGACGCTGTAGTGGAGGGCTCCGGAAATTTCGACCACCTGGGGTTCTTTAACGTGCACCCAAATCTGAGCACACGGGCCTACAACATTTCCGCCTCCATCGGAAATGCAGCCGCCACAGCCGGGATTTGATCCCGCGACTTGCGGGTCAGCAGCCGAGAACCTTAGCCACTAGACCACCGTGGCGGGGCACCTTAAGGCCAACTAAACAACCACATTAGAGCTGAATTGACCTTAGAACTACGCTGGGTTGGATCATAATTGGCGTTACAGGGAACGCTGGATTTAAAATTTTTCTTGGTGTGTGCTTAGGTCTGTGTTCAGTCTGTTTCACACTCAAAGGAAACCTCGTAGCGCGTGGCCTCGCGATGCGGCCAGCGTGGCAGTCGTGTGCTGGCAGCATGCGCAGACGCTTCAGGGGAATCGCGCTGAATGGTTGAACCGCGTCGTCGGCTAGGACGGCGCAAGCTGGCCACACTAGACTCTTTTAGTGTAGCGTACGTAACGAGCCCACGTACGCAGCGTGCCTAGTACGCATGCGCAGTACCTAACGTGTCTACTCCATGGATTCGTGCGTACGCCGAAGAAAAAAAAAAAAAAACGCGCGCGTGCGTAAACGTGGCAAGGCGGAGCGTACGCAGCGTGACGCTCTCGCGATATCTCGATCGAAATGGGAACCAGATAGCAAAATGGCAGTGATGGCGTCGAATGCAGAGAGCAACAAAGCCAGCCCAAATTGAGTATATTTTACTTTGAGGGACGATGTCGCGCTGTTATTGGATGTACAAACCAGCGATCTGTTTAGGCATCCGGAACAAACCGACGTAAACCATGGATCCAAAACGATTTGCCTTGGCTTGGATGCTAGTGGCCATTATGACGGCTGCTACCGCACAAGTGCGCTAAAAAGCACCCAAAAGCCGTTTTATTTCTGATAACGTACGTCTAGCGGAAGCAAACGTATCTCAGTACGGTCAATACGGTGAACTAAAAGTGTCGTTTAGCGCTTCGCATACAGCGTACGAAACGTATCGTGCCGCGTACGTAGGCTCGTTACGTACGCCCAACTAACTGTATCTATTATCAGGCAGCGGGCGAATTCTATCGTTGCAGCGGGAACTGGGCCGACATTTCTCATCGTGTCACAGTACGCCTCGCGGTCACCGTACGCCGTCATGTCCCCAGCGGCCGTCATCGCAGCCGCTGGGGACACGACGGAGTAATAAGCTGGAAGCTTCACGCGTGCATTTCGGTGCCAGTGAGTGAGTGCTGCCTCAAGTAATTAAATGCGATCAAAAAGAAGCATGATCAGGTTGTTATTTTAACCTACAGCATTCCTGAACTATAGCTGTCATCTGTTTTATCGTGTTGGAGCCGCATAGATGCACGGTAGTCGCTGTAGAGTTATCCGCTTTTTTTTTTAGTGTGAAATAAATGGCATGCATGGTACGTGCTCATACGGTATTCCCCGTCGGAGCATATATACGGTTCACACACAAAGAAAAACATATACGTGGACGCACTCAGTACCATGGCGTTTCGAAAGAGCAAACAACGTATGCTGTCAAACTGTTTCTAGAAACCCCTTACCGCCAATGAAGGCTGACCCCCATATTCACAAACGCTCCTCGGCTCGACTTTCACCCTTCACTTGACAGAGTTGAGCACTGCGCCGCTGCTTGTTTGAAAGTGACGTTGCACTACTAAAAAAATCACAGCAGATTATCGCTGATATGCAGTGACTTTCCCTGCTTAGAGACGGCGCTGCCATCGGCCTTCTCAAGTGAAGGTGAAGCATTGAGTGGAGGGACGTTCTAGAATGCGGGGGCGAGAGGTAGGCATCGCACAACGTTTGGTACAGAATATCGGCCTAGTTTCCGCAGCATCGACGAAATCAGCAGACTATACGACAATGTGGCTAGCGAGCACCGCCGCCACAGACGATGCGTTTCAATAGCACGCTCCTCAAGCTTCTACGCATGCGCGAGGTGTAGGCCGGCGCGCGACTGCAGGGCGGACCACATCGCAACGCAATTTGCTTTGAGATTTCCCCCTATAAGTGTGAAACAGACCATACATGCATGTGGTAAGCCAGAAGGAAACTCTTGCGTACTCTCGCCGAAAATTATCCCGCCAAAATTGCGACACACTTTTTTTTTCGACTCGCAGATCTTATCTTCGTGCTCAACCTGCTTCACGGCTACGCTGCTCTCCCAACAATCTACATCTGCTCCTTCCTGTTCGACAGCCCGATTACAGCTTACTCGGCCATCGTCCTTATCACCTTCGTAATCTGTGAGTCAATAATATATAAAAATAATAGAAACGATAAACAATTCGATGCGTAACTTATTTTTAAAATATAAACTGCGCTTCACGTTCAAATCTTTAGAAGTGCGCACGTGAGGCATGATGTATTTATGGTTGGGACGTTTTCGTGGTATCAGAACAAGTTCCATTTGAGTTCCAGTTGGAAAAAAAGCAAGCCGTAGTTTTCGCGCAAAGACGTAACAATGAATGAGATTGGGCGACACATTTCAATGATACGAAATAGAGCTACCAGCAAACTCCTTTTGAAGGTTTCTGACTGGCGTTCTACGAAACGCCGGTGTATTGTACGTCCGCTCCAACGAGCTAATTGGGCTTCGTATTGTCTGACGCGAAGGTGACGTAAGCAGTGAGAGCACAGCATGTAAAAGGGTATGCACAGTTTACTGATCTCTAAAGACGTACGGCACGCGCGAACCGGACGTTCCCCATTTGGATCTTAATTCGGAGAGAAGAAAGTGGGCGTTTCCTCCTATCTTGAGGAGGCATCGACGGGAGCCCTTGCGCGCGGGGAGGTGATATCCAGTTCGACTTTATTACGAATATGGCGGCGATGGCAAAGCCGGTGGAGAGCGTCCGCATAGTTGCTATGAAACTAAAAACATATATGCAGGCATGTATCCGTGTTTTTGTGTTCAGGATTGTAGGAATCGAAGGCTGTCTTACTCGGAGATCGTGGTTGATGAGGATTGTTAAAATATTAACGTGCCTCTTGGAGATCAACAACATTTTTTTTTTCTGAGACGCTGTAAAGTTGTGAATAAACCTGCTATGTGGAATGTGCGACCAGCTGTGTGGGACCTTCATAAACCTGCTTTGTGGAATGCCAGCCGTGTGCCAAGACCCTCTGTGAAAATTTGCGTTCAGCGGCGGGGGTACACAGAAGTTCAGAAGAGTGGTCAGGATATTCACATCCACTTTAATAATTTTGCGGTGTCTTCATCATCGTAAAATGTGTGGACATTGCAAGTATTAAACGTTGAGCTCTACTTTTACCACTTTTCAAATGCACGCTATCATGACTGCTTGCGCAGTGAAAAGCACCACAACGAAGTGAAGTCGATCGATCGAGCAGAATATTGGCGCCGAGTTACGTGGAATGGGCGTGCGGCAGCATGGCAATTGAGTAGGGTAGGAGACCATTCAAACTAATATTAACCCGTGTGCGGACCGATCTAGACCTTCCTTTCGCGTGAAGTCACGTAAACGGTCCACTGGCTTCGGGAAATGTGCCTAAAAGACGAGGAAACACCCGAAGATAACGCATTCGAGCTTTGTGTGGTACTTGCGGTCATTTATGAGTCCTTGCAGGACCCAGAGGACATACCATTGTGATGACGCCAGATCAAACAACCTGATATATGCAAAAAAGGCGATTTCTTCTACGGCCACCACTGTATGTAAATTTGGAGCTGAAGGTGGCGGGTTTGATTCCGGCAGCGGCTGTCGCACTTCGATGAAGGCGAAGTGCTAGTGACCTGCGTACTGTGCAATGTCACCATATGGTTGACGTTTCAGGAGCCATCCCCCCCTCCCCCATTACGGCGTGTCCTAAAATGGTGTCCTGATTTTGGGACGTAAAACCCCAGATACAATATTTACTGTAACTGAATCGGTTGAGCATCGCAAGCGTTACTCGAACGTTATAGGTTATAGGTTCAATGTCAATCTGCCCGGAGTGTAGTTTTCATTCACTTCAATCAAGTACAGTACCGTCCACTGGTAAAGGAAACAATCGCATGCGCGCCATCAACATTGGTGGCCCTCTAACCGCAAAAGCTCGTCACTATTGTGTCAAGAGGAGTGTAAAATTTCAACCACAAGTAGTGTTTTGAATTTTCAAGCGTCTATGCTACCGTAAGATAGCGAAATTCAACCATGCTGGCCGCTCAAGTGTTCCACTGAACGCTGGACGTGTCTGTACATTGACGCCATAATTAGTACGCTGCACCACCTTGGCTCTCCTTGGCTTAATCGCCTTTTGGTATTGTGGATTGGGTCTAACTAGGTATTTAAAGCTGACAACCCGATTCTGTCGAAATCCGCAGCGTCCGGGGGTAACTTGGCCGCGGTGTTCATGGAGCAATTCGGAGAGGACCTACACAGTACCCTGCTGACCACGGTGATCGAAGTGACCCTGCAGGTGCTGCGGTTACTGCCCAATCAGTCCTACTCTCGAGGCATGACCAAGATCATCCAGCTGGCCAGGGAGAAAGGGATCTGCCGCAAGGGAGGGTTGCAGCTGGAGAGCCGCTGCCACACCAGGCAGGCACAGGGCAGACTGTCCCTGCTTCAGTGCTGCTTGCGTAAGTCCTGTACTGCCAAACTTTCACTTATTTACTTACTTTTTGTTACTTAGACATCTTTATACCCGAAGAAGGGCGACCGCTTAGTTCGCAATGGTGCAAGAATGATTCAAGTGTGAGATATGTCTCACGAGTGAAAAGTCTCTGGGGTGACCTGATGGTAATCCGCGAGATCTTCGTGGCTGCGGGGGCGTCAGCACTTATTATGCAAATAAATAATGAAGGTCAGTTAGCTCGCAGGATGCTTGAATGAAGGAAAGTGTGTTCATGGCCGAAATGTAACTTGCGTAATGAATTAGATCACCCTCCGACGTGATGAATGTGATCATCTGATGATGTACACCTGATGGCCTCGCTTTGTAAAAAGAATGGCCATTTGGGGGAGGTTTCATATAGCAAATCAACAATGTCACTACGACAGACGTTGAGGACGACGAAAATTTAGACCACCTATGGTTTTTGCACATGCGCAAACTTCAGGCACATGTTCGTCTACCATTACGCGTCAATATAAAGGTGGCTACTGTGGCCGGGATTGGATCGCGTGTCTTGTACACGTCAGCAGTGGAACACCGTAACCAGCAGGCAGACCACCGTAGCGGGTGTATGCCAACCCTGTATGAAGTCAGTTTGAAACCTGCCCACATGAATAAAAAAAGGCACTCAACTGAAGTTTTTCAAGCTTAAATAGCCAAGAATCTACCATTGTCTTGGGCAGCTGTGGTTACTATAGCTAAATGTACGATGTGTTAGAGTACCACACTCGGCTCTCTAAAGGCGGCCGCTCCTCCACGAAACGGCGAGCTCGTGCACTTTCGCGATGTCATGACGGTGAATGACGCGTGGCAATGTGCTATGCGTGACTCGGTGTGCCTTCGCGTGGTCCGTATACCGCAGACCTCGACGCACCGGACCCGTCCGAGTACGCCATCAAGCCGCTGGACGTGAGCCCGTACTCGGTCTTCTACGAGTTCATCACGCTAACCATCGAGGGACCCGTGCTGTTCGCGCTGCTGGTGTGCATCGAAATTTGGCTACCGTCCGTGGACATGGCGCTCAGCTCGCTCGACCAGAACGTCTACAAGGAGGGCGCGGTTCCGGCGCCTGCACCTTCGCCCGCCGTCGGCAAGGCACTGGCGGGCAGCAAGAAGGTAATCAATACCACTACCGACTTTTCATCTCTTGTCAACGTACTCTTACCAGACTGCCTACGCTGGGGTCTGCGATGTACTACAGCCGGTCACATTTTTAAGGCTGACCATGCCAGCGGCGACCGCCGAATACACGCGTGCCCGCGATGAGCAGTTCTGTGCAGCTGTATTCTGCTAGGCTGTTCCGGGAGCCGAACACCACCGCAGATTATTTTGAGCACCGTTACCCTTATCTTATGTTTGTCTTTGTTGAACGCTGTCATCAAGTTATCAAGAAAATATCAAGTGCAAGCGCTCGAGATGGAAACAATATAAGTGCGTATCAGCATTATTAGTTTAAATATAAAAGTGGGTACTTCCGGGGTCCAGCAAGACTTCATTGACATAGTTCAGTCAGAGATAGGACGTTGGTAAAATTAGGAAGAAGAAACTCGAGAAAAAGGTCTCTCGCTGGGAATTCATGACTCTCGATCAGAAACGATAGGCGCCCGGCAGCACTACGAACTACGCAAGCGGGGCACATGAACGAGTCTTTACAAATGCGCCTTATCTCTCACACATTTTTTCTCGCACGTTGTAGTCTATTGGTAGGACTAGGCGGAGCTAGGCGGGGAGGGGTGGTACCGACATCTGTGAGCGTTTAAGTACGTCGTCACCACAATAGCGAGCACAGAAAATGAATAAACGACGACCCATTAAGACAACAATGTCGACGAAGAAGTGACACAGAGGCTATTGGGACGGGAAAGCCTGCGCGCGTTCGCGGCGAAAAATACGAACTTGTGCCTCTCGCGTTGCTGAAGGGCAGAGTGGTAGTGTAAGCATGTGCAGAGGCATAGATTACACTATGCTGCTTCTTTTCTCAAGTTCAAGTTTAGCTCAAGTTTATTCATTGTTATTGCATGTACAAAAACGGGTTACATTATATACATACAGAATCAGGAGGTCCTAAAGTAAGAGACTATAATTAGTGGTGTACATTAAAGCTAACGGCAGCAAAAAGAGTGAGCAAATCGAAAACGCAATAAAAAAAGAACGATCTCTACTAAAAAGGAAAGATATATATATATTTACGATAGTAGCATTACACAAAGCTTAAAAATACCAATACAGAAGTGTGAAGTGATGATGAGAATAAATTTATTACGGATGAACAAAACGTTCCTTTAACAATATGTTTTTCATGTTGTGTTAATTGATTGCAGTGACCGAGATGATTTAGTATGAAAAGGTATGCGATCCCAAAGATGAATACCATAGAAGCGAGCTGTAAATCTTCCATGGTTCAATCTAATTTTGGGCAAAAGAAAGTTTTTTTTTTGCTCTGAAAACCTAGTATTATTGTTATTAAGAAGAACATGGTGAGGAATACTATCCAATGATATTTCACGATGAATAAGACGGTATGTGATGAGGGATATTCTGTGATAAAACAACTCTTGAATCGGTAGAATGCGCAGCTGTTGATAGATGGGTAGAATGGGAACGGAATGGGCTATATGTGATTAGCTTTGTCGCTTTGTTTTGAAGGCGCTGAAGCGGTTGGAGATGATAGGCATTATGATAAATGGCTGTTAATATAAGCGGGATAAAGTGCGATAAGAATATGTGGTTGAAAGAATGAACGTGTTTTAATGATAACGCGGATACCAAAAGAAACCTTTTTGATGAGCGAGATGGCATGAATATTATATTTAAGGTGTTTGTTCAGAGTAATAACCAGAAACCTAACATTATCAGATGCCGGAATTTTATTTTAATCATTTTAATCAAGCATGGAAGAAGTAATCACCATTTGGGGGCTATGAAAAAGCACAAAAGTTGTTTTAGGATGATTAATTTTAAGTTCGTTATTCATACACCATGGGTGAACGTTTTTAAGATCTGTAGTATGTCCTGAAGTGCGGTCACTGCTTTATGTGGTGAATAAATTGTTGCATCATCAGCTACAGCAAACAGTTAGAAGATGTAAGCGTAGTAAGTAACACAATAATGGATAGGAGAAACAACAAAGGGCTTAATATAGAGCCTTGGGGAACGCCGCAGTTAATAAATTTACTTGATGAAAATTGGCCATTAATATACACTACTTGCGGCCTGTCAGACAAGTAGCTGCGAAATAAGTTTAATGGTGGGCCAGTAATAACAAAAGGCTGCAGCTCATCGAGAAGAATTGAATGTGCTATTGTGTCAAATGCTTTTGTTAGGTCAATGAATATGGCTCCTACGACAAACCCTTCATCAATAAATTGTGTAATGCTGTCTGTGAAATTGATTAAGGCCGGTTTCATCGAATAATTATTCCTAAAACCAAACTGGCGTGGCGAGAGAAAATGAAATTTGTTTAGATAGTTTATCAAATGAGTGTACAGAAGCTTTTCAATGACTTTAATAAAAAAGGCGAAATACAAATCGGGCGGTAGTTGTTAATGTTATCACGAGCACATTTTTTGAACACCAGAATCACTTTACCACGTTTCAACAACCTGCCTCGAAAATTTTGTTAGCAATATCTGCCACAACCATTGATATATCCGCAGCAACCAGTTATATTCTAGAAGGCTGGATAGAATTCAGCCCTGGTTCCGTAACTTTTAGGGAAGAAATTACATTAAACACTCCTTCTGATGAAACAGGACGAAGGAAGAAAGACCGAGAGCTACGTGGAAGATGGGGTGAAACACTAAAAGAAGACGTATTTTGGCATGCGGCAAAATGATCACTAAAAGCGTTAGGTATTTCAAGCTCGTTAGTGCATTCTCTATCATTGTAAATTATTTTTTCAGAACCCGTAGCTGACTGTAATATTAAGAAATTCATTAATGAGCTCCCAATAGCGCCTAGTATTTATTCCGTTTTCAAGTATGCGCCGTTCATAATATTCTAGTTTTGCATGCTTAAGGATGCCGAAAAGAGTATTGTTGTAATTTTTAAATCGAGCTTGCAAAGATACGTTGAAAGGCTGCAGTTTGACTTTCTTAAGAACGTTTTTCTTCATTATAGAGCGCAGCAGGGGATGACGCAAGCACATATCGAGTGCCAGTGTCGATTATGTGCTTGTTGGTGTCATCTTAGTGCGGGATTCACGATACGTTCTGTCTAGGTATATTAGATGCGAAGCAGCTCTTTGACCAGCCTGTGTAACGTTGTACGCCCGTGTCTCCGTGTCTCCGTTGTCCGTCCGTGTCTTTGTGCCTTTCGGGCAGCCTGTCTTTTGAGCAAGGCAAGGTGCAGGGGCCAGCAACCCGCCTGCTTCAATCCACTTCCATCAAACACCTGTTCCTACAGTTTATGGCGAATTCCGTGGCTCTGTTCAAGCTTTATGAGGCGATGGGCCAAAGCTGCTCACATGGAGTCAGCGCGTTTCAGAAATTTCTGTCTGAAATTTTTAAAACAAATCAAAACAAAACAAACAAAACCCCGCCAGGCCGGCGCGGAATGCGCAGCAGAGTAACAACGAAAGGTGGAAGAGTGGCCTTTCAGAGCCTTTTTTTAAAACACTCTTATTACCACAGGAAATTAACAGTGCTCCGCACAACGCAGACGCAGGGAACGAAGAGAATGATAAACTACTGAAAGCACACTTTTAGGCTACCACTTTTTAGGAAACCATAACTTTTTGTGTTCTAAAGAGGCGATCACCATGTCATCCGTCAACATCATCATCATCATTATTATTAAGAGAAGTAAGCTGTCCACTGCACTCTTGCAAGACATTTCACGCAATTTATTTTTTGATGCTGCGGCTGACAACAATTAACAATTATGCCTGAACCTTGGGTAATGGGTTGGAGTATTCCACGACCCGCTCATCACGCAATTCGCATTGTGTGACGCCTGGTTGTTCCTTTGCTGTTATAAAACGCTTCATTACTAATGTTAACGTGATTTTTTCTCCCGACATCAAGCCTGCCTAAGGCCAGTTTGCAACGGCGTTTCCAGCATTGGTGTGGCTCAGTGGCACAGTACTGGGCTGGCAGGCAGCCGACCCGGGCTCGAATCCTATTGTGTGTTTGGTGTTTCGCATTTTTACTTACTTTTAGATGCGGAGCATCTTATACTCGCGCCTTGTAGTGCGCCGTCCGCACCGCTTCTCGAACATTCGACAGCTGACGCGCGCGCATGCGCCGTCGCGCCGTCGCCCACTCTTCCACCATCTGTGCATCCCTTCCTCCTCTACGCACCGCGCGCGCTTCACTCCTCCACCATCTGTGCACCCTTCCTCCTCTACACACCGCGTTCGACATCTACAATTCTCCTGATTCTCCAGTGGACGCGCATGTGGCGTCGCGCTTCGAGAACATTCAACAGCTGACAGTGCATGCGCCGTCGTGCTGTATATATACTCAAGGTCGGCGCTCGCTCGCTCAGTTGCCGCTCGTCGGTTGGTTTGTACGGCGCGTCGACGTCCAAGGTCGCGGTGAAATGAATTCCAACGAATCCACAAACACAATGATCGACGTCCCTTCGACCAGCGCCGCCCTTTCGCATACGTGTGTACGTGTTCACTCATTTAACACCCCCTCCTACAACCACGTTAACCAATTTAGCCATCGACCCAAGTAAGTCGCAATTTAACACCCCATTTCACAACCACGTTAACCAATTTAGCCATCGACCCAAGTAAGTCGCACTTTAACACCCCGTTAACCAATTATATGGTCCGCATCCTCCTCAGTATTCCCCCGAGGGAAGCTGCGGGCAATTTTTTTTTCATATTTCGCGTGATAGCGGTTACGGACACCGGTGGCGGTGGCAGTGAACTACGGTTCACGTGACCCTTGTTGCGATCTCTTAACAGTTTTCACTGTAAAAAAAAGTGCTTACAACCGTGGTTTCTTTGTCAAAGCCTGCAGGCGGACAGCTGTCTGACGCTGCAACAAAAGAGTTCATTGGGCTAAGCTCTCTGAAAAAAAAGGCACCTACTAGATGAGAAACGAACGAGTAACGTGACACAGCAAGTTAGCAAAATATTGTAACGTGTAAGTCTGTTATACGCTACAGTTTTAAAATTGTAACAGCTACGTTACTAAGCTACCGAAAAGAGTAGTGCTGTTACCGGTAACGGTGTTACTTGTAACGCGTTACCGCCAACACTGCTTTATACACACGCCCGTCCCCAACCCCTCGGCGGGCGGTGTGCCAGCTTTTTGAGGTGTGACAAGAGAGCATTTCACAAAGAACTTTCCCGCACATGCACCTCCTCATATTAGAATTACGAGCAGCAAACTCAGTGCGTGACGGATATGGTTAGTGACGTCAGCGTTTGTGTGTGTTGCTGCTTTTCTGTGTCATTGCGAGCAGCCGGAAGACACGGAGGTGATGCTGGAGAACGGGCTGATAGACGGATTGGTAAACAACCCGACAGCAACGGGCGCATTGCGGCCTCTCATGGTGGTGAATCTCCTCTTCAAGTCCTATGGCTACTTGGAGAGCAATCCTGTGCTGCAGGCAAGCTCTTTCATTGTCGCGATGGCATGCGTTTTCGCCTTTGTCCTATGTGGACGCTACAGTGTACTATTTATTCCTTAAGGCTAAAGTCTTTTACGCCATGGCCCACCACTGCTCCGCTAACGTAATTATGTCACGGACATGACGTTGTAAGATATATACTATGAGAATGCAAACAAAACACCACCCAAGCGCCCCGTACAAATGGTTAACCAACCAAAACTGAAACGTGCAGCCCCAGTGGTTAGCAGTGCTTTCAAACCGTTGTAGAACTGAAGCATTTCACAATTATTGGTTACATGTTCGTTCTTCCTAATGTGGTAGATACACGCTAGGTATTGGTTTACCACAGTGTTTATTTCACATGATGATGTGCATCACATGATCACGGTCAGGGAGGCGTGAAATGAGCGGGTAAATGCGTTTCGCAATGCGTTAATCATTGGTTGTGCTCGAATCACAGGGGGTCACAGACGCGTCGCCGCCGAAGCCAATGTTTCCGCTGGAGAAACTCCCGACGAAAGCGGGCATTCACCCTGTAGAACGTGCCCCCGCAATCACCACAATAGGGAGTTTTCAAACAGTGTATTGCAAGCCTTTGTGGTGCTGTCGCTGCCACTGCGCATGCGTCGTAACGCGAACCCCCCAAGAAATCTGAAATATCATGTGGCTCGCAAAGCCTCAAAGCCCCTTTGCGGTGAGTGAACGTACTGCAGCCATGCGTCAGCATTCGCGGGGCCACATGCTATTCGAAAACTCACATGGCGCCCATACGCAAGCGCTACGCCCCCGCTGCCCGCTATAGCTTTTCGGTACGCTATTCGAAAACTTCCTATTGACGCCGCGACGCCGCGTTATTGGAAGCATTCGACGTCGCGAGCTAACTGAGCGGCGTTGTTTGCGGGATCAATTTATCACCGGCGCTTGCGTTTCCGTTCGCGATTTAGTGCGGCGGAGGCTGCTGGATCATCGGTACTCAGCGGCGGCCGGCACTCGGCCTCCCGGGCCTGCATGTCTTTGGGGCGAAGTTCCTTACGCTGTGGCTCAGTCTCTCCGTTGTAGTATCCTCCCCATACTTTTTAAAATGTTCACTAGATCACTTGACGTACTGCGGTGGCAGTACGTGAAGTGATCACCCCGCCGCGGTTGTCTAGTGGCTAAGGTACTCGGCTGCGCACCCGCACGTCGCAGAATTGAATTTTGGTGGCGGCGGCTGCATTTTAGATGGAGGCGAAAATGCTGCAGGCCTGTGTGCCCAGATTGGAGTGCAACCCCAGCTGTTTGAAATTTCCTGAGCCCTCCACTACGGCATCTCTCATAATCATATGGTGGTTTTGAGGCATTAAACCCCACATATCTATCAATACGTGAAGTTATCACTAAATGGTGTGAAGGCGTGCGTTGTATGTGGTTTAGTTTGATAGGAGCCACGGTAGGATGGTCCATCTGTGTTTATTCTTGTGTCCCTGTCTTGTAGGCGCACCCCCGGATAGAGATGAATAAGGAAGCCCGCGTTGAAATTCTCCGGAGACACAGAAAAGAGGAAGGAGGACGTGTTGCAGGAAAACTCCTAATGGAATGAGTGCCTTACGCATGCATAACAGAGCGTGAAGGGATCGTTGAACATGACGGAGCTTGCGAAGGTGCCAGGAATAAAAAATGCTGGAATTTTTCTTTTTCTGATCGCCTGGTTTATTCGTGTACCTCTCTGCGTTGTTTTTGCACAGGGGCTGAGTTTCACCGTGCGCACTGGCGAGTGCTTCGGCCTGCTGGGCGTCAACGGCGTGGGCAAGACGACCACGTTCCGGGTGCTCACGGGCGACATCCTGCCACACTTCGGGGACGCCAAGGTCTCTGGATTCTCCATCGTCCACCAGACGTGGCATGTGAGCGCATTTTAGTACTTTTCTGGGAAAGGAGACATCGCACCCTCTGCAGGAGCTGTGGTGTTTCTACAAGTACTTGACCCCTTTGTCGTCCGCCATGGTAGAGCAGTGATTGGGGTGGTCGGCTGCAGACCCGAAAGTCATCGGTTCGATCCCGCTTTTGGTGGTCGCATTTTCAAGGAGGTAAAATGGTGGAGAACCATGTACTGTGCGATGCCAGCGCCCATTAAAAGAACTCCAGATGGTCGAAATTTGCGAGATACTCCACTGCGGCATCTATCATGTCCGTGTGGTGCTCTTTAACCCACATAATACTATTACTGAACCCGTTTGTGCGTGTATTGTGGCATCTGATATGGCCTAGGCTTGCTCGACGGCTCCCAATATTTCTAAATTTTACATGTGGGTAAGCTGCGCGCAACTTGTACCACGTGTTTAGGTCCTAAAAAGAAGCGTGGACATTGGTAAATCTGACAAGGCTCAGTGGCCAACGATTGGACGAGTGACGATGGAAGCAAGTATCGCCAGTGCTTCGGACGTCATCTTGCTTCGAAATGATAGTTATCAGAGCCGACGATTTTGGGGCGATAAAGCACCGTGGTGCCATACTGCCTGTGCAACGTGATCTATAGATGATGACCGCACGGAATCTAATCAGAACAGATGAAACGTTGTGCAAAATTTTGAAGGGACACCATGCTAAGAAGTAGTGATAACAGCAGCAGTGTTGCCATTGCATCGTAATCCTGTGTTACCTTAAAATATTGCGCCCTCTCTTCCGCTGTTGCAGCCATGCACCAACTATCCCAAGCCTCCCACATAGCAAGGCATAATAAATCTACGTTCTTGCGCGTCGCAGTGCCAGCGGTACCTCGGCTACTGCCCCCAGCGGGATGGCCTGCTAGACATGCTGACCGGCACTGAGACCCTGCTGCTCTTCGGGCGTCTCAGGGGCCTGAACATCACGCCGCAGTACTTGAACGTGCTCGCGCACATCTTCAGACTCGAGGAAATCGTCGACCACCTTGTCGTCACGTACAGGTGCCCTGCCAAACGTCCACTCTAGATTCAAGTCGCGTCGTAACACCAACATTCTACACACCACGCCTCTTTTCCCGTGGGTGCTTGACGGTTCGTTTGGTACAATTGTCTTCTACTTCCGTACCTTTACGTGGCCATCCGAGACGATAGCGTATGACGTATGCGTAGTGCCGAGAAACTCCAACTCTCGTCCGCCGCGAGCCACAGTATCACAATTTAATCTGACAAGAACATTATTTCACTTTGTAGGACAGCGATTCGTGGTTCGCTGACACACGTGCGTACAACTGATCTTTTCTTGATCTGGAAAAATTTCGTCGAGTTCGCGCTCAATCCCGTTTCGATACCTCGAGATCGCCTCACATTCATTGAAGAGAGGAGGGCAGACGCACGTAGAACAATGGGCAGCCAAAGTGCTGCTGGTTGACCATTCAATATTGCAGGTATGTTCTCTATATATTGTGGTTCACTTTAATCTGTCCTGGTCCCGTTTTCCCAGGTGGCCAAAATGTTTGAAGCCTTTCACTACAACGTCTCTCATAATCATACGGTGGTTTTGGGACGTGTTAAACCCCATACATCATCATCATGCTCCCGTTTTTTTGCGCTCTTGAGTCGTCAATGTTTTATTTCTGACGCACACACACCATAATAACATAGGGCCCCAAACACATGCATGTGCCCTGTAAAAAATGTGTCTTGATGGTTAAACCATTGTTTCCTAAAATTAACTAAAGGGCGCAGCGATCTTACAGCGACAATGGGAATGAGGGGCGGTATGTGGATTTGCCTTATTTTCTTACTTGCGGACTTGGAACGTGCTTGTGGCTTTGTCTATTGCTGTGTTTTGGTTTTGTTTCCAATGAAAGAGCGACCGATTATGAACTCCGTGTTTGGAATGGCGAGCCGAAAAGGTTAAGGTGGTGAAGTGCAACTGCTGAGCGTTTTTCGATTTTTCTTTCCTGACAAAGCAGCTCCAAGCCACGCTAAGGCAAACAGAGCCGGAAGTACGAAGATCAGACAAATCCGTGTACTACTCATCATTTCCGTGCTTGCTGAAGCGCCGTGCGTTTGCAGCTCACACTGACGCCAGAGTTCCCTCTAGAGTATCATATAGGAAACTACATTGGTTTATTTCCTTATTTAAGTACCCACGGCACCAATTGGCATTGCAGTGGGAGAGCGTTTACAAAAAGTAGAATACAAAAGAAGATACATTGTCAGCCAAACAAATAATCATTCACCTCAATCACAGTTCGCAACACAAATACCTATATCAATAAAAATGCAACACACTCAAGAAAAATGTAACAAACTCATTCTAACAGAGAATAGAGAATTTCACATGATATAGGCAATACTAGAATGCAGTAGGTTCCATTCTCTGATTGTCTTGGTAAAAAAAAAAACCGTTTAGAAGTTTTTGAAAAAAAAAAACGTTTTTAACTTCTGTTTCGTTCTGAGAGGGGCTTGTCGTTATCGCGCAGTGTTGGTAACCGGCGCAAACTGTCCATCTGCGTCTCGATGATGGGAATGCCACGGATGCTGCTTCTGGACGAGCCGTACAACACGATCGCCACCACGGCGCGCAAACGCATCGTCAACTACATCAGCGAACTGCAGCGGGTCAGCAAGATGTCCATCCTACTCAGCTCTCACAGGTCGGTGGTTTACTGCTGCTTGAAATGATTACACAAACAGGGTTTTGCGTGGATATAGCGGCAGGCTATATCCATGCAAAAATCCCAAAAAAAGCAGGTTTTGACCGCCAAAGGAACCACCTCCAGCAAATCGAGATTTATGTGTCATCGCGAAATCGCAGCCGACACCGCATTGCACCTGAAGGGAATGCGCGGAGCCGCCCGAACTTCTATGACTGCATCTCCGTCGTGAAGTAGTTCTATGGGTAGCGTTTGTTATGAGTGAAGATAAAAAGCTTAATTAATGTTCGATTTCAATACAACGCGTGCTGGTGCACGCTCGTCCCTAATTTCAAAAGACCACTCAACAGGCTTCGACTTTCTTTTTTTTTTATCCCCTAAAGAAGCTCTGCCATTCGTAGAGTAGACGGCGGTGATCACGTTTTCCGAGTATTACAGCCCACTTCGCAGCGCAGAGCCTTCCCATTGAAAAGCGATTCCCGCGCTCCTTTCCTACGCCTGACAAATCCTCCTTTCACGCGGAACGACGCGAAGTCGCCGACGGGCGACTTGACGTAGCACGCAGCTAGTCGATTGGTCTAAACCAGCCACGACGACAGGATCCGCCTTCCCCTCCCTGTGAAGGAGAAGGGTGACGAGGCTGTGCGAAAACTTGAAACCAGCTGAAACCGATGTTCTAACCCCTGCAACTTCCTTAATATCTCACTGATTCTCAAAGTTCTTAGGGCAGCATGTTCACAAAGGAACAGTGCACATATTTCTTTTTATAACAATGTTTCTATTTCGGGGTTGTTTACTGGCCCCTTAACAATCTAATGCAGTAATTGATGAAAATTAAGCAACCTGCTATCTATACTTGTCATGGACCCTGGTATTACAACAGGTGTGTGTTCGATATTATACAGCGGGTAAGCAAGATGTCCATCCTGCTCAGCTCTCACAGGTCAGTGGTTTAGTGCAGAGAAGACACCGCAGGGACAAAATTTCAGGATGGGCTGAACTTGCACGCTTAAGACAAAACACGCGCACAGGCTGATGACGACCACTTTTATCGTAGAATGTATTTAAGCTGCCGTAAAAATTCCACTGTGTGCAGCGGCAGCTGTAAGGAGCGCCGAGTGCATACGCAGCAGAGGAAACACCACGAACGATAGGCGTTACACACACACCACACTAGCAAGGGTTTTAGTGGCTTTTTGTTGAATACGAATGAGTGGCACTAAAGTCAGCACGCCAGATCTCCATCTTAATATTGACGCCTGTGGATCGTCGCAAACAGTGGAGGTACAAATGTGGGTTGAGGTCTGTCAGTGCTTAAGACCATGCTGTTGATTCCTGACGATAGTTATAGCGCGAAAACAAAACGACGACACAGAGACAAGAAGGACACGAAAGACACTCGTGTCTTTCGTGTCACATAGCGCTCGTGTCACATAGCGCTCGTGTCTTTCGTGTCCTTCTTGTCTCTGTGTCGTCGTTTTGTTCTCGCGCTATAACTATCGTCATGCCATACCAACTAGCCCAAGCTGCCACACTTCTATGTTGATTCCTCTCTTGAGCACGACGTGGAGGTGATCAGCCGCTATAGGTTACGATGACCACGCGACTACGTTAGCTGGGGAGGGCGGTAAAGTAGTTTTACGGCGAAAAGCCGCTCTTGTCTCTACTTGTACTCAATTGAAGTTGGCAATTGCTCACTATACCTTATTGCGAGTGTCGTGTATCATCCGTCCTTGTAGAAAATGCGCTACTTTACCAACTAAATATTGTGGTTACCCAACTTCCGCGCAGCGTAAAATCCGCAGACATGCCCAATATGCGGTTGTCCTTTGTTTTCTGAATCAAAGGATGGGTCCCGAGCTAGTTGGTACAGTGACATTATGAAAGCGGTAATCGCGCGAAGACGTGAACAATTACGATAACACACTGAGCACTCTGTGTGTCGTCGTCTTGTTCCCATCTTCATACGATTACCGTTTTCATAATGCCTGCGTTTCCATCACAATATTCTATTATCACTCTTTGATTACTGCTTGGTCCGTGAACGAGGCAGTTACCCTATATACCCGTGGTTACATATGGGAACCGGCTTCAGCGGGACATCGGCCCTCGTTTCGCCGAGCAGCGACCGAGTCGTCCACTGGTGAGACCGTGATGCGTTTGTGGGCGTATCTAGAGACTGCAGCGTGACCTGCGGACATTCAGCTATCGTCGGTTCCAGCCCTTCGATAGCTCCGCTGTTGAAAAGACACTAAAGAGAAACAACGACTAGGTTCAGATCGACAAAATGCACTCTTGGAGCTCCAAGGTTTCAGGACCACAGGTTCACATTAGTGGAGCAAGTCAAGGTGCAAATTTCGCGCCGAGACTTCCACGCATGACGTACAAAATTGTTGAAATGTACTTAATTTCTCCTAATTAGAAGGCCAAGTACACGTCTTCAAAATTTATGACGTCATGGTATTTGTTGTGGGAATCTCAACGTGGCGTCTCCCCCCGCCCTTTCCGCTCACGCGCTTTTTCGCTTGCCAAAAGTCGTGCCGTGTCTTGATGACAGCGATGTTTTCAGGATTGGGATAGCGTAACTTACTAATAGGCGACGAATAGTCTTGCTCTGTACGGTCCCTTTAATAATCCGGGTGTCCAAAGGTGCGCCTGAACGATCGTTCTGCTAGAGCTACACGGACTGATTTCGATGCCAAGAAACTCGAGCAGAACAAACTCAGTGTAATAAATTCGGCTAGCTGGTCTCCGTTAAGGCCATCGTTTGCTATTGCCTAAAAAGGCACTGACCAAGGGGAACAAATGCTTGAGCTCATCCTTTTAGCAGCTATAGCACCCTGTAAACTGTTTCTCTCCTTAAACAGTGTTATGCCCTCGAAATATCATTTCTCTCCATTAAGCATACTAAAACGAGCACCGATGAAAAGACGGGTGAGTACGAACCATGCGTCCATATTCTGTCCCCACGTCGTTATGCTGCGCATTTTGAAAGTAACAACTACCTACCAGAGCTCTCAAAGCTATCGGTTCGCTGCTTCGTCGTGAGAAGTATGCTAAGCTGTATTATAAACACGGGTATACGCTCACTCGTTAATTAACGGCCGCAGCCTGTCGGACGTCGAGTTTCTGTGCAACCGGATCGCCATCATGGGCGAAGGGCGGCTGCAGTGTCTCGGCTCCCTGACGCACCTCAAGGAGAAGTTCGGCAAGGGTTACACCATTGGCGTGAAGACGTATCCTGACAAGAAGCAGGACTTCGTATACCAGAAGGAGGTCGCCGATGCCGTGTGCAATACCTTCCCCGAAACAGAGATGGTCCACAGTGTCCAGGTAAAAACTGTGCATCTCTCTACGGTGGCTTCAGCTAATAGGTAACGCTCAGGCGGCGCACAAAGCCACGTGCCGTAAGAATTCCCAGAATCGGCTCGCATTACGAATGCCTTGTAACGTGCAGAACACTCGGATCGCGCCATATTACGACCCTCACACATCCAGTTTCTCATTTTCATCACGCTACAGTATAGCTTAATGGGCTTCTGCAGCACTTTCTGAATATGAAGACTATGGCATGATATCAGTATTGCAGTTTATTGAATCGTGAATCAGCTGTCCCAAAACTTCTTGAATTTGTCGAATTAAGGCGAAAAAAGTTGTCGGTGCACTGCACGGCCGTGTGCTGAAACATCATCGCGCTCTACCATTGCAAATACTGCGTAATGTTAACTGACTATATACGAGCGTGGCGTAGGCACATGGCGATACCACGCGAGAAAAAAAGCGCCTCTGACCAATCGCGCCTTTTGAATTCATGTCGGGCTCAGCCAGTAGTATTATACCGGTTGTTTTACGTCAAAAAGCAAGCGCATACAGCTCCGATGGGAGTGAACAAATGCTCATGTGGTCACCGTAGTTTGATGGTCTGTCCACTGCCATGACGTGCCAGTTTATGTTTCTGGGAGCTGCTTCGAAGTGACATTCAATCTTGACCAAGATTAACCACGCTAACATTTACAAAACTAGACCCATAGACATAGCCACTGTTAACTATAGCATACACCTAAGTACTCTTAACTTTAACCTACACATAGGTACTCACTAAAGCATAGACGTACCAAATAAATTATTTTTGGCTATCAGGGCTCTTCTACTCACCGAGGCGGCTTGATTGCGGACTTGAAGATCGCGGGAGGGAATCCCTGTCGTGGCGGCTGGATCCAGATCGAGGATCTTGTGCTTAGATTTAGGGGCACTTGAACGAACCCGATGTGGTCACAGTTTGCAGCGTCTTCTACTACGGAACCGCTCTGATTGTATCGTCACTTCGAAACGTTAAAACCAAACATTATTTAGACGAAGGCGGTAAAAATCGTATCACAACCGAAAACCTACCATCGGCGTCAGCGGTGTCAACTTGAGGGACGTAATAATTCTTGATCATGTCAAAGTTCCCCATAATTTTCGACGTCGCATGATTACGTCTTCACATTACATCAAAGCTTGGTGACGGAGGCACAGCAAAACGGGAGGGGCAGAGAGCTTCCAATTCCCCCGATACCGGAGGCAGTGCAATATGACGTTGCGTGTGGAATGCATTCGGGGGGGGGGGGGGGGACCAATACGAATATCTGAGAAGGACTGATAAATTTTGCCTTTCAGTAGTCCTGGCAAATGAGTAATCATGTGACTTCTGAAAACCGACCTACTGAAACTTTTTTTGAATGTTTTGATTTTGAGGCTGATGAACTGTCGCGAACTGTAAATGCATAAGGACCTTTGTCTGGCTTGTTTGCCTTTAGTCCTAGCCTCTGCCGTGAGCTCTGCATTTGTGAGCTCTGTATAATAAGTACTATCGCCTCCGCACTACTAGTACGACTATGGGGCTACTAGTAATACAATTATTAACGCTAGTACTACTGCTACCACTACTAATAATACATTCATTATCAGGTCCACTAACCCTCTTGAACTGCCATAGGGTCTCCTGGAGTTCCGCATGTCGCATGTGGAGATGCCCTGGAGCGAGATGTTCACGCGTATGGCCAAGATCAAGAAGCGCTTCAAGCTCCAGGACTTCTTCATCTCAGACACGTCACTGGAGCAGATCTACACGAGCGTTACGCGCAAGGAAGCGTTCGAGGCCGCTGCGGCGGCCGCGGCTGCAACCGCGGCTCCGGCCACCGGTGCACTCCCGCCCGGCCTGGGAACATCGCTGGGAATCTGAACGACTCCCATCTGCCGCGCGCAAACTCCTTGTCTCGGGTCGTAGGGTTCACCGCGCATCAAGGATCTTGGCCGTAGCCTGGCCGCCGTGCCCTGCAAATATATGTAGGCTTGTAGTTCGAAATATCAATGTGGGTGTGTATGATCATCGTGGTAACGATGAAAGTTCTATTTGGGTTCAGTGAAGATGTCGGTGATCGAGACCCCGCGCCACCCGGCTAGTGCCACGTATGACCGCCAAGCCGAGCTTGGCGTACGCGGCCACTCCGGAGGACCAGGGTTGTGTGGGCTGTGCGATTGCGCTGCACACCCGTATCTGTTGAAGGCGGAGCCGATGGCTTTCACATTCTCACAACACATGGTTGAATGTTGTTAATACTCCACAAGAAGGCAGTGTGGCCTGGAATACCGTTCAGGGTATATGGCATGAAGAACCACAAGGGCTAGACACCCACGGGCTTGTAATAACCTAAGGTCACCCTGCCTTGCATAGGGCCCGCGCCCTACAGAATGCACGGTGTGGAATAGGAATACTCGTCTTCACTGATACAAGTGTTTGAATACACAGAGTTACAGTTGTCCACAAGATTACAGTGAACGTGTTCGCCGTTTCGTCTGTACCTCTTGGAATGCCCTTCCTCAGCGTCTAAGGATAGAACGGCAGGAAGCGCGCGCATCTGGTAGCAGAGCTGCACGTCATCGCGAGCGTCTGTTGGTAGTGTAGGGACCGGGCGTTTCATTTTAAAGCTCTCGCTTGCATAACAGGGCCAAGCCGACCTAAACGAAGCATTTCTTGCTTACTGCAAGCACATTTGGTATCTGCCTACGTCTGGGTGCTTTAGTGGACACTCTCTTAATTAGGGGTAAATCAAAATTGGTATGGGAGGGTAAGATGGTTTGACGAATATCTCGTTGAGTAACTGGTTATAGTTATGGTTATGGTTATGAGCGTAGCATGTGTCATGTTGTTGCATGACACGCATCTGCTGTTTATCATGTTTGGATGTGTCATTTACCTATGTCATCTGTTGACGTCGCGTAATACCAACTTTGGTACATGTGAAGCTAGCGAAACGGCCACGAGTGCATTATGAGCGTAGAATGTAGTCATGTTGTTACATGACACGGATCTCATGTTTATCATGCTTGCACCAGTCTCATACCTTCGTCATCCATTCACGTCCCAAAATACCAAATTTGGTATAAGTGAAGCTAGCGAAACGGCCGCCAGCGCATCATGAGCGTGGCATGTAGTCACGTTGTTACATGACACGCATCTCATTATCATGTTTGCACCAGTCACATACCTTCGTCATCCGTTCAGGTACCGTAATACCAAATTTTCTATATGTGACGCTAGCGAAATGGCCGTGAGAGCATCATGAGCGTGGCATGTAGTCATGATGTTACATGACACGCATATCATAATTTTCATGTTAGGGTCTGTCGCTCGTGTTTGCCATGCAATCATATCGTACCATACCAGTTTTGCAACAAGTCATGTGTGCGAAAGCACCACAAGAGGAGCAAGGACATGAAATTTATCATGACAATATTGATATACATGCCACCATTTTCATGTTATGACTAGTCAAGTATGCTAATCATACAGTCATGCTATACCATACCAAGTTTGGTATCGATATGATTATTCAGACGGCCAGGAGAGCTAAAAGTCGTAGGCGGATAGATAGATAGATAGATAGATAGATAGATAGATAGATAGATAGATAAATAGATAGATAGATAGATAGATAGATAGATAGATAGATAGATAGATAGATAGATAGATAGATAGATAGATACGCTCAAAGTCGCCGAAGTTCGCTAAGAAATGCTTCGCATTTAAAAAGGGGGAGGGGGGGTCACGCTCTTAAGGTAAAAGAATCGCAACACCCACTTTCGCACAAACAAATGCAGCTGGCTGATGCCACCCTTTTGAAGAGGAAGAAAAAGGTTGTCTCTCCTCATGAATTTCCATGAAGAGCACCGAATAAAACAGGCGAATTTCCCGTGAAAGAATTGAATTTGCACACGAGAGAAGTGAAACACCTGCAGAACGTAAGTAAGCTTTGATGCAAAGAGTATATCACACGTTTTCGCTCTCGCAAAAGTGGACAGGTCTCGCCCGTCTCAAGTTGCCATCTTTAGGCGGATCGTAGTTATCGCAGAGGTCCAATCAAGGGCCGCTGTTACGATAGTTATCGAGAGGCATACCAAGATACTGCGTAGGAGTCGCATTTGAATTGATGAGAAGACTGAAGAAGTTTGTGCCCACACGTCTAGCCAAAATCCTCTGCTTTTATCAAAATTTATGTTGGCGCCAGCGACAATGCAGAAACTTGAAGTATGGTTTACTGCTTCTTGGACGCTGGGCTTGTCTACACAAAAGAAGGCAATGTCATCTGCATAAACGAGAACGTTAACTTCCTCAGCCTCATATCGGTATCCTCTTATTGTAGATTTTAGAAGCACACTTAGAAATCACGGTTCCAGGTAAATTGCAAAGAGCAAACGCGAGAGCGGAAATTAGTGGCGTACAGATGAATTCAACTCTATTATATTTTAAAGTGTGCGATTAACAATCAGCTTGTAGTGCACTTCTTATAACATAGTGGAATACGAATGTACACTACATTACCCGACTGCAGGTGTCTTAAGAGCTGAAACAAAAAAAAAGCATGTTGTACTTTTATTAAATGTTGTTATGAAGATCTATTTGAAAAATGGCTACTTGGTTCATATTACTATCAATACACTCAAGGACTGACCGCGCTATGTAAATATTTGTCTGTATTGAGCGACCTCCAATTCCACATGTTTGGTGGTCACCTACACAGTGATCATCTTTAGCCGATTAGTCAGTAATTTTGTAAAAATATTTTGTAACCAACGTTACATAACGATATATGCCTGTATACGTTAGCTCTCTTCCATGGTTCAGGATCGGCACTTTTGGGGATTGATGTTGTATGGCTTTGAAAGAAGAAGGCGGAAGTTCATCGAGTTCATAAGCCTCTTTAAAATGCTGATCAAGGAAAGGTATCAGAAGTTCCTGAAATGCTATGTAAAATTCCCCTCCAAGACCATTTGGGCCAGTTTTGTTTTTTTTTTGCAACGTTGTTATTGGAAACCTACTTTCTTCCCCGGTTATGGGCCTATCGACAGTCAGTCGGTCATTTTCTTGTAAATGAGGCGCAAGGGCAATGAAGAGGTCAGCTTCTTTTTAGCAATTCTCCTGAAGCTCAGCCGCGGCAAGCTTTTTGTAACAATGTTCAAATGCGGCTCCTATTTCGCCTGTTTCAGTGCAAAGTGTACCCTGTGATTCAATTTGCAGTATCTGTTTAGAAAGAGCATATCGCTGTTCGTCACCGAAAGCTTTCTTCGTGGGTTCTTCAGTGAAAGGAGTAACACGGGAACGAATCGTTGCCCCCCTGTATACATTCGCATCATGTTTTGGTGTCCGTACTCGTATCACTTTTGCCTTTGCTTGTGAATACAGTGAAAATAACTTCTCCTGCTTGGAAATCCGGTGAAGGTAACTTTCATGCTTTACGAACGCACGCGTCCTGTACATATGCTTCACAACACAACATGAGCTATTGCCGTAATAATGCGTGGTGCAAGCGCGCATTGCCACCGGGCGTCAGAACATAAGATTATAACAATGGCTTCATGGTTTAGAGCCAGTCACCAACTACAGAAGGCACCCACTCTACTGCACCTCAAGGGCACATCTTGGTTTCATAGCAAGTTCGAAAAGATTTTATACACTATGTGCTTGAAGCGCGCACTATAGTAACAGAATAACGCTATCGCGTTCGACTGGCGAAGCTCATGGATCCCCAACTTTTTCAGCTGTTTTGAGATGCGTTTTTTTAAATCTTCGGCGGTCGTGGCATAGCTCAACCTAGCACCAAAAAGGTTTCTTGAGTTTTTGTGGGTGACAATATCTGCAGCAGTTACCCTGGAACAAAGCTTTACCACTTCCCGAAGGCTCACTGGGAGGAGAGACGCCGACGTGGACTAAGACTTGTCCGTCGTCTATTACGAATAAGGTTGTTTCAATAACTCACTTATGCCAAATGGCTGTAACTAAGAGATTGTTTAGTTGTCGTCATTTATAGCGCACTGTAGGTGGAACTAACCGGTAGCCGTAAGAAAATAGCAGATTTTGCAGTAAGTTATTAGTATAAGCAATGCTAAACCGTCCCGCCGCGGTAGTATGGTGGCTATGGTACTCGGCTGCTGACCCGCAGGTCGCGGGATCGAATCCCGGCTGCCGCGACTGCATTTTTAATGGAGGTGAAAATGCTGTATACGCCAGTGTGCTCAGATTTGGGTGCACGTTTAACAACCCCAGGTGGTCGAAATTTCCGTAGCCCTCCACTACGGTGTCTCTCGTAATCGTATGGTATATAGTAACGTATTTCTCAGCGTATACTTTGAACTGAAATTTTTGCACAATAATTTGACACATATTTATCTGTGCAGTGAATTAGAATAAAAGAAATCCATCGAATATTTTTCAGTTCACAGCTGAATTCTCCAACAGGTTCAGTCTAAATTGGCTTTTTCCCCGTTTTTTCGGTTTTTTAGCATTACTTCCTTGATATTCACTGCATAATATTTATTCTAGTTCACGGCATAGCTCTAGCCATTAGTTACACAAATGTCAAAGCTTTACTGAATAAAAGCCACTCATTAGTCACTTATCACAGCTGTCGTGGCTAGCACTTTTAATGCAATTTTTGACAAAGGTTACCTCCCAATAAACAAATATTCAATATTTACCACTGTTAATAGCTGGGTAAATTAAATAAGACATGCTGGTTTTGAGAAAAAGTTATTTCAACGCTGCCTGCCCTTAATTTTTTTTGTTTTTGAGTGGCTTACCACCTTAATACCCACATATCAAATCAATCAATTGGGCGATTCTAAACCCAGTGAATAGGAGCATTCAGTCGACCACCCACCTAATTTTTCCATCTTTTACAAGAA